AAACTGAATATGACTTTATGTGGATAAATATACCCATATTCCCCTTCTCTTTATATATAAATCCAAGATTTAAGTGTATTTATTTTTAGATCACAAAGGACATTCTGTTGTTGGATTTTTCTTTTGGCCACCAGATCACAAAAACCAACATGGAGACTTATTGCTAATTATGAAAGCTTGGCCTATAGCTTAGGCTTGTTTCTAACGAGCTCTTATAACATATTAGCCCATTTTTATTCATGTGCGTGCTTTCATCACGTGACTTTCGACCTCTCCTCCTGCATGTCTTCCTCCCTTTCCTCCTGGCTGGTGACTCTGCCTTTCTTCTTCCCCAAGACCTCTGTCCCCGGAAGTCCTGCCTAACCACCTTCTGTCAAGCTAATTGTCATTCAGCTCTTTATTAAACTAATCACAGTGACACATCTTCACATGGTATAAAGGAATAGTCCACAACAACATTCTCTTTGAATTTCAGCCTGCCTTTTGCAAGTAGCTTTTAAATTGAAAACGCTGTAATTTTTATGTGCCTGCCTCTGTCTCATCTCCCAAGTGTTGGGATTAAAGGTGTGAATCACCACCTAGCTATGGATTTCTTATACTAGTTAGTTATTCTCATAGGGTTGTCCTGGTTTAATTTGATTCTCCATTTTCCCTTATATTTTAGTGTTAGGTGTAAACTTGAAAGTTTTTCAAGTGTGTAATCTATCATTCTTGCTGATTTGTTCTGAATTTGTTCTCTGACAAACTTTAATATTCTTGCCTTAACTAAACATAATGCCAACTTACCCACTATTTCACTATTTTGAGACGTTTTGCTTGTCTTGATTGTATGAGATTCATGAAATGCCGTGTTTTTGCTAAGTCTTGCCATCTCCGTTCATGCCTCCCATGACCAGATACTTTGCTGCTTATCTGCCGCTTAGTGGTTTTCCATTTTGACTGCCGTTGCCCTTCACCATGAACTTGAAAAGACGCGGATTTCCCTTTGCCTCCCCTGCTTGCCTTGTATCCAGTAGCGGGGCACTGACTTTGTGGTCCCTCCCTCGTCACTGGCCACTCCATCCTAGATCCAGAGGCCACCACTTTCCATTCGTTTTGGTTCCATCAATGGTTGATGAGCCAAATGTAATCAGTCCCTGATCCCCAGAGTCAAATAGTTGCCTCTCTTTGGGGAGGGGTGAGCACTTTAGGCAACTGAGCTATTTCCTCAGTAAGGGAAAGGCACAGACCCCTTTGCTACCACATCTGGATCACAAAGGAATTCAAGTAGGTTCCGGAACCCCCCCACCCCCGTGTGCTTCCCAATGGCAAAAAGTTTCCTAGTCTGTCCCATGTTGGTCTACATTCATTAGTTCAATGTCAACCTTCGCTACACCTTCTGTGTCCTCCAAAAGGCTGGGATCCTTTTGAACTATCTCTAGTAAAAACATTGTTTCTAGGAATGCCTTGTCTACAGTCTCTTTTCAAATCACCTTGCTTACCACAATTAAAACATCTGACATTTCAATTTTTATCTAGAAAACATTTCCCCTGTCAGAGTAGCATCATAAACTCATAAACCTGAGGTCCAGCACTGACAGTGTTTCCAAGCCACTCATTTGTTAGTGCTGATCTTGCGGTTAAATGCGGCACCCGTGCCACAAGCAAGTCCAAGGTATCAGGAGAAGAAAGGCAAGATGTCCAGCTGTTTGTACTAAGAGAATTCATTAGTTGCCTTTATTGCCAGGAGTGTGTGTGTGTGTCTTTATTGCAAGTGCTAAGCGGTCTCTCTCTTGGAGGGAGCAGCTTAATATACAGGCTTACAGCACAGTGGAAAAACCCCAGGTGGAAGAGAGGTGTTTTCCTCCTGCTAGATGTTGATGTCAGAGGGTCAAGGCCGGAGCAGGAAGCCAGGACTAGAAAACAGGATGCACTTGGACTGGAAAACAAGTTACACAGAGACCCCGTGGAGCTGGGGCCCAACAGTTAAAGGCCTAATAACACATTTGAATTCTGAATTAGCATTTTCAAAACCTAAAGGTTCGATTAGTGTTTATCTGATAACACCCAGCTCATGATAGACAGGCAGCTCATGGTGCACGGCAAACTGGCAAAAAAAAAAAAAAAAAAAACCACGCAGGGTCAAAATGTTCAGTTTCCACAAAGGCCCGTGGCAGGCCAAGAGCTGTCTCTAGAGGAGAGAAGGGCTGTGTGTCAATGGTGACAGAGCCTCACACCAACATCCCAAAACTCTCTTCTTTCTTACAGGGTTCCAGCAAAGGCTCCTAAGAGCATCCACTGGCACATCAAGTACCATCCAGTCTGCTGGTCCAACTCACAGGGAAGCCGGCAGCACAGCAGCCTGGATGTGTTAAAGAGCCTCCTGCTACAGGCAGGACTCGAACAAAGTTGCAGCTCTCCAAGCCACTTGGTATGTGGGCCGGAATTACACACCCCAGAGAGAAATGTGCTGTCTCCAGAATCCAAACATGCCCACTAAAGATTGTTTATTTTCTGGCTGGGGGAGGGGCCAGGTGCCATTGTTCGTCCTACACCTTAGAAGGAATATTTCTGCATCTCGCATATCACTGAAATCCAAGATTTTCAATGGGGCAGAAGGCCCTTGAATTTAGGTTGGCCTTATATCCCATTCTGATGGGCACATGTGTTACCAATGAATTCAAACTGGTTGCTACCTCTTGCTCACATGGTCCAATCAACATAATGCTATCCAAATAGTTCAACACTGTACTACTTTGTGGAAGAGACAGGCAATCGAGATGCCTTCTAAGGCAGGGAGGGAGAAGCAATAAATTATTGATGTAAAACTGTGAAGGAACAGTCCACTTCCATCTCACCTTCTATGGCTTTAAGTAGATTGATTGTTGCATAATTAGACACTAAACATTTTGATTTTCCTGAAATTGAGATGGAAATAACGATTAAAGTTCATGAGGCCAGGAAGGAATTGGTAAATGAAGTTAGTTTCCCTACCATATCTAAATCCTCATCAAAATGGAGAGAATCCAAGATTAGATTGATTAGTAAATGACTCATCCCATGCTTTGGGGTCGTTTTCAGAAAATGGATGATATGTATCGAAAGGAGGCCCCAGTGAGGGAGAGGGGGAGCTGTCACGCGCATCCATGTCAGGTGGGCCCTGGGAGAACTTAGCTGATAAGTGAGACACGCTAAAGTCTCATGCAGTGCTGCACCAGCGCCACAAGCAAGTCCAGGGTATCAGGAAGAGACAAGACATCCATTTGTTTGTACTAAGAGAATACATGTGCTGCCTTTATTGCCAGGAGAATGTGTGTGTGTGTGTCTTCATTACAAGTGCTAAGAGGTCTCTCCCTTGTAGGAGGGAGGAGCTTTTTATACAAGTTTACAGCACAGTGGAAAAAACCCAGGTAGAAGAGATCGTTGTTTTCCTCCTGCTGGATGTTGATGTCAGAGGGTCAAGGCCAGGGCAGTAAGCCAGGACTAGAAAACAGAAAGCACTTGGACTGGAAAACAAGTTGCACTTGTAGGCTGACCAGCAACTCACAGAGACCCCATGGGGCTGGGGCCCAACAATGCAGTAGCCAACTTTATTCAGAGCTCCATGAAAATTATATTCCGAAGGCAAATGCAGATTACCTGAGTAAAGTTCAAGTGTGTTCAGACCATATATAATGACGGAAACAGTCCACAGGAGGCAAAAGGGTTTCTTCATGACTAAGAACAACACTCTGCTGTGCAAAGGCTTTACCACATTGAATCATTTCCAGGATGAATTGTTTCATGCCTGTAGTCTTCCCAGGCATGAATACATCCGTGTTTCTCTCCAGAATAACGTATCTGAAGGCAACTGGGACATGCAAAGGCTTTATCACACTGATGATAGTCATACTTTTCTCTCTAGCTTGAGTTCTATGTACTTGATGAAGACGGTGATATGCCAAGGCTTTTGGATTATACTCATAGGGTTTTCCTTCCAAATGAGTTCTTTGGTGTACTTTCAAAGAGGAATCAGATCCAAGGCTTTATCACATTGATCACATTCATAGAGATCCTCTTCCTTACTGGTTGTGTTGTGTATTTGAAGATGCCTGTAGTGATTAAAGCCTTTAGTTATTATTTTCTCTGCCCACGTGAATGTTTTCACATCTTTGAAGAGAACTTGAAGAACTCAGAATCTGACCACATTGATTACAATTATAACATTTTCTTTACTGTGAGTCAAACTACATGTACACAGCGAACCAGGAGAGAGAGCTGAATTTCCATATTCTGGTACTCACAAGGTTTTTCTCCTGTGAGAGCTTCTTGATGTATTCCCACAGAAGCTGTAAAAACAATTACTTGTAAACTTGTATCACAGTCATCATGTCTTCTCATGGTGGGGACATCTCCCATTTTTCCTGAGAGAGACTGAAGTCCAATGCTTCTTTCAATATTCCTTATGCTCACAGGGCTTATATCCAGAGTGACAGATGACATACCTGGTAGAGCAAGATAACAAACAAAAAGGTTTCACATTGCATTCACACAGTCAAACATTTCGTGTCTCATACAGATGTGGTATACAGATTCAGGTTTCTACACCATGTTGTCTCTCATAAAGTGCTCCTCTCACTAAACGGTGGTAAGTCACTCACTACAAGTGTATGAGGAACACTAGCTTTAATATGGAATATTTGCTTATAAACGGTCTTGGACATACAGCAATCACCTCATCAATGTGTACACCTTACATGATAATTGAATGGCATGACTCTAAGTGGATGGATAGTTCTACAACATATGTCTCACATGGCTATGATTAAAATTGTGACATTATGGCATTGTTTCCTTGTCTTGTCCTTACAGGAATGCTTTACAAATGGTGATCAGCTACCTGACATTGAAGTACATGGTACTGTGAGAATTTAATAATTATCACAAACCTATGCTTATTTACACCATTGATTTTCATTCAAAGTTGAGGGTACATTTAACATTTCTTCAGACATACATATGTATCAGCTCACACATGAAAATTACCTTCCATTTCTTCTGGACCTCTGACAATGTTCTTCAATATTATGGTCTTCCCATTTGTAGCCTAAAATACAGCACCACAAAAATGTATGTGACATATTACTGGAAATTAGACACAATTGAAATTACTGTCTCTCATGAATCTAACCAAGCCTGATTTGTTCACCAGATTCTTCCCCTTTCATATTCAAGATCACAGAAGAGCACCAATGTCCAAGAAAAGCGTGTCCCCTTAAGTTAAAAGGTGACAGAAAGCTCACATTCTCACCTATGGAAGTGAGGTTCCAGTATGTCTCCAGCATCACATCTTTGTAGAGACTCTTCTGGGAAGGATCCAGCAGTGCCCACTCGTCATGAGTGAAGTTCACATGCACATCCTCACAGGTCACTGCATCCTAAAATGCCCATATGTTCATAATTGAAATGGTGAGACTGACTGACATGCAGATGTACACTTCACTGAGATTATAATTACATAACTCTGTGACATGGGTCAGTAAATATCAAATGCAGTCACCAACTCATTTTAAAAGAAAACAGAAAAAGGGGATGACACCTTCCATTCCTGTGTGGAATGCCTAGTAATATATACAGAGAGACATGCAAACAGAGTAACACTATTTAGTATACATCAGCAAAATTCTATTGAAATTATCAACGTCATAAAAAGACGGACAATATGGATGTGGTGGTGTGCAGCGTTGATCCCAGACCTCAGGAGGCAGGGACAATAACCACACAGCAGAGGCAATGCTGGGCTGTTTTGAGATTTCCTCTGTCAGAGGAGTTAATCCAAAACTCTTTGCTTCAGCCATGTTCTTTACCAAAATATAATGGGCTGAAGAGGTGGCTTAAAGGTTAAGAGCACTGGCTGCTCTTCTAAAGGTCCTGAGTTCAATTCCCAGCAACCACATGGTGGCTCACAACCATCTGCAATGAGATCTGGTGACCTTTTCTGGCCTGCAGGCATACATGCAGACAGAATACTGTATACATAATAAATAAATAAATAAATAAACCTTTTAACATAATATAACTGCCTCTGGGAGTACAGGTGTGCACCTCTGCACCTGGCAAATTAGCTCTGCTTACTTATTGTGTTCCATATGGTGTGTGTGTGTGTGTGTGTGTTTGTGTGTGTGTGTGTGTGTGTGTGGCTGCTTTGCACACAACTTGTATTCTCCTCTAAAACCACTTAAACTATGCCCCCACAGTTCAAGTCACACCTGAGCACTGTCTTCCCTGCTCTTACCATGATGGCCCATTGAGCAGCTCTTAGAACATTCCATTGCTTTCCCAACTCCAAGTCCCCAGTCCACACTCCTCCAAACAGAAACCTGGTCAGGCCAGTCACAGTGATAGCCCAGTCCCTGCCACAATGTCTCTATCAGCTATGGCTTTATTGTTGGGAAGAGATACGATGACCACAGCAATTATTATAAAGGAAAACACTTAATTCTAACATCTGATGATAATGGTTTACTCCACTGTCATCATGGGAAGAAGCATGGCGGCAAAGAGGCAGACAGGGTGCTGGAGAAGGAGCTGAGAGGTCCACATCTTGGTCAGCAGGCAGCAGAAGGACACTGAGGCTCACTAGGCCTAGCTTTGAGTGAGACCCCAAAGGCCACCTCCAGAGGACACATATACTCCAACAAGACCACACCTCCTGATAGTGCCCCTCCCCATAGGCCAAGCATAGGAATGCATGGGTCAATGAGGACCATTCCTATTCCAACCCCATCAGGGCTACCTTTAATCAATGACTGCCCAGTGCTTTAGAGGAGGTCTGAAACATGCAACCCAAAAGGAGACAAATTAGAAAGTCACCTGTTACATCACTCCCAGAAGTTAAACCTTGCTGAGGTGTCTTCTGTTTGGACACAGCAGAGGTCAGATGACAGAGGTCCACTGTCTGGGGACCATGTGCTATGTCACTCTCTTGAGGTGTATGAATATGTGATGGCCACCCTGGTTGTTTTTATCGTATGTCTGTATCTCTGTGTATGTGTCTCTACATGTCTTTCTATGTGTTTCTATCAGCTTTGTTTCTCTGTATTGACCCGTGACTTTCTCTGCTGTGAAACCCTCCTCCACCCAAGTCCTGTGTTCCCTCCAAATCCTTTTGGCTCTACCAGGTCATCCAAAGATGAAAAACCCCTCCACTTGACCAGTCCAGGAGCACAAGCACGTCCTTGTATTGTGGCTTGACTCCTGCTCTCATTCATTGCTGGTCCCCATGAGGAGGGGAGAAGGTGCCGGGCCTCTAGGCCTGAACCCCACAGCCATCTAAGAAAAATGCACAGGGTGGGGAAACCAGTTCCCCAGGTGAGCACCCCCTCCTTTTCCTGCCTGCTCTAAGCAGTTCCAGGAAAGAAGAAAACTCCTCCTGGGCTGAACCAAAATGAAAACTGAAAGTTCCACTACTTTCTCTTTCATAATTTGCATCTCTTTTTCAACCAGGGATCTCTAAAGTCCATCCTTCTCTTTGAAAAAAGTAAAAACACTACCAGTAGGCTGGGCAAGGGAATCGCTGCCAGGAAACACAGCCTGGGAAGAACACATATTTATTCCCTATAGATTTGGCAACAGGCCAGCCTGAATCTAGCTTGTGTCAAGTCTACCAAATCTGATCAGCATACCTTCTGAGTCATCTCCCAAACCCCAAAGACAGATCATTAAGCAAACCTCCACGCTCTTTTTTTTTTTTTTTTTTTTGGTTTTTCGAGACAGGGTTTCTCTGTGGTTTTGGAGGCTGTCCTGGAACTAGCTCTTGTAGACCAGGCTGGCCTCGAACTCACAGAGATCCACCTGCCTCTGCCTCCCGAGTGCTGGGATTAAAGGCGTGCGCCACCAACGCCCGGCGGAACACAATAAGTAAGCAGAGCTAATTTGCCAGGTGCAGAGGTGCACACCTGTACTCCCAAAGGCAGAGGCAGGCAGATCTCTGAGTTCCAGGCCAGCCTGGTCTACAGACAAAGTTCCAAGGCTACCCAGAGAAACCCTGTCTTGAAAAATAAGAACCATATTCACATATCTCTTATGCATCACCATGGATAAAATAGCCAGAAATACACAGAAATGTGATAAGTATCTGGAGCCAAAACTATACATTTTTAATTAAAAGAATCAAGGAACTAAAAAAAAAAAGAGAAAAATTCTAGGATTGTAGACAGGAAGCCTCAATATTATTTCAGTACAGAATTTGACCTATAGAGTCAGGTCAATAAAAAAAATCTAACAATTTTTCCTAACAACAACAGAAAAATGATGACAAATGTCATCAACACGGGCTAGAGAGATGGCTCAGAGGTTAAGAGCACTGTTTTTCTAGAGATCTTGAGTTCAATTCCCAGCGACCACATGGTGAGTTTCAACCATCAAAATGAGATCCTGGCCTGCAGGCATGCATGCACACAGATCACTGTATACTAAATAAATAAATCTTTAAAAATAAAAGTCATCAACACAAGATTGAGTATATAGCACACACAGTCACATCCATTTGACGTCAAAACTTTGCCCACAACTGCAGTAAAGACTGTACTGTCTGGGAAACAACACAGACATCAGCAGAACATGAGAGCAAACTTAGAAACGAAAACACAATTAATACAGAGTCAATTGTGACACAGGAGGCCAGGAAACGCGGGGAGTCTGGCCCACCCGGGCATCTCCGTGAAAATGTGTTAATGACACAGACTTTACGCCCTGCACAGAATTAACTGCGGAGGCAGCCTACACCTGAATGTCCAGTGACAGCTACAGAGCTTCTAGAAGACCTGAGAGTGACCAGGGCTCTGCGAGTTAGCAAATGTGCCTCCCCTAGTGACAGCAAGAACAGCGCGTACACGCCCTCACCCTGCACTCTGCCGTGAGCAACAAGGAAGTTTCCACTCGAGAGTTCACGCCTCCCATGCCCTGCGCAGGCGCACCCCGGGACGAGGGGGTACGCTGGTTCGCGCCTAGATCCCGGAAATGGCGTGGCCCTCGTGTGACCTGGCTGTGTCCGGTGACCCCGGGAGGATGCCACACCGGCTCCCGCGCCTGCTCCCCGCGTTGGGGGCGGCGGCGGTGGCCGCTCGCTCACCGTGGCGGATTCCGAGCTCGCCCCGCTGTCCTCGCAGCTGCTGGCCCCTGCTCACAGCGCAGCACAGGGAACACTAGAGTCTCCCGCAGGCCGGGAGCCGCCCGAGCCTGCGGCATGGCGCACCAGGGCCCCATTCCGACTGACTGGCCATCTGGAGGTCGTGATTGGTCAGTGATGCCTGAGGGACAGCAGTGAAGAAAGAGATGCCTCTCTGTAGTTCCCAACTCTCCCAGATGGGCCGAGATTGGCACTGAGCTTTGCCTCTGGACTGCATGCAAAGTCGTCCCTGAGCCTTCCCAATACTCGGTAGGCGATTTTCGACCTATGCACAGGATCTCTAGCATAGGAAGATCGTTAAACAGTGTTCAGTGGAGGGATCCCCCTGCCTCACAACTGGAAGAGCGTCCAAACAATGTTCAGTGGAGGGATCCCCCGCCTCACAACTGGAAGAGCGTCCAGCCCACCCAGGTCAAATGTAAGCCACCTGATCGACATTCACCAGGCCCCAGAAATTTCAATAAGGCACACTGCTATTCAAAGCACTAACACTTGCCCAGCTTTCTGTGGTTCCACGAGCCTTTAATGCCAGCACTTGGGAGATGGAGACAGGACGTGGAAACGTTAAAGCAGTTTGGTCTATGATCTGAAACACCAGAATGAGAAGACAAAGGTAGAAAGTTATGTAGTAGATACTGCATAAGCTGATGTCTCATGCTGAGCGAGCTTATTAAGTGCAACTCTGACACACTATTCTTGGGGGGGGGGAGCCACACAGAGTCAGCAGAAATGTAATTCAGCAATGCTGGCAAGAACACAGGAGGCCTCAGGCTGAGCACATGATGGCCTTGGGGCTGATAACCACAGTCCCTCAGGATAAGGAGTCTGGTCCCCCTAATCCCTTCAAGACACTGGCTCAAATACCAGAACCGACTTTGCCAAGTCTGCCCTTAGGCCAACACACAGAATTAGTGTTCCCTTGGGTACTTTTATCGGAGCCTCAGAAAAGGCCCACCTCCAACCGAAACAAACACACGCATGAAAATGGAAAATTGCTTTTGTGGAGGAGTTTTATCCTGTGTCCTGTTTGCTGACAGGCCTTCCACTGAAGTTTTTTGGTTGGTTGGTTGCTTATTTGGTTTGGTTTTTGAAGACAGGGTTCCTCTGTTTAGTCCTTGTGTAACAGTCCTGGCTGCCTTGGAACTCACTTTGTAGACCAGGTTGGTTTTGAACTCAGAGATCTGCCTGCCTCCGTCTCCCGAGTGCTGGGACTAAAGGTGTGAGCCACCACTGCCCAGCCCACTGAGCATTCTTGAAAGCCACACTCACACGTGACTGGTGTGCTCAGTCTGCCTCACTCTGTGATTTCTGGCTCAGGTAATGTAGTTTCCCAGGGCTCCTCATTTCTACTGGACACGGACAACAGCAGGTGGAGTCACGTGCTAACCCTGATTATGGAATGGCTGGATGTGGGGGCACAGGTGTAGCAGACTTTCTTTCGGGCCACCAACCAGCTCCCAGATCACGACATGGAGACATTAGTTGTGAATGCGGGCGTCTCCCTCCCTTTCTGCCTCATTGCTTCTCCTCTGGTTCTCTCAGCCTGTGCCCCCACCGACTCACTGCAGGGACAAGGACATGCAGGGCATTTTCAGCCACGTCCTGAAGATGCAGCACTTGCAGGTTCAGGGTGGCTGAGGACACAGCTCAGCTGTTCAGTCTCCATGCTTCCCCTCCGCAAGCTGAAGCCTCAGGGACCACCTTCCCCAGGCTCCAGAGTAATGAACAGGACTCATCATGCACCGGTGCCCAGCCTGGGACCTTCCTGTCGTGGTCAGGGTTTCTATTGCTGCAACAAGACACCATGACCAAAAAGCAATCTGGGGAGCAAAGGCTTTATTTGGTTTATACTTCCAGATCATACTCCATCATTGGGAAGTCAGGACAGGGACACACACAGGGCAGGAACCGATGCAGAGGTCATAGGTCATGGAGGGTGTTGCTTACTGCCTGTGGTTTGCACTTATCCACACACATGATTATAATTACATAATTTCCTACCTTCCCTTGCTTTTTTGCTTTGCTTGTGTGTGTGAGTGTGTGTGTGTGTTTTAAAGATTTATTTTTTTATTTATTACATATACAGTGTTCTGCCTACATGCCAGAAGAGGGCACCAGATTAAATTGTAGACGGTTGTGAGCCAGCATGTGGTTGCTGGGAATTGAACTCAGGACCTCTGGAAGAGCAGCCAGTTCTCTTAACCTCTGAGCCATCTCTCCAGCCCACTTTGTTTTGTTTTTCCGAGACAGAGTTTCTCTGTATCGCTTTGGAGGCTGTCCTGGAACTCACTCTGTAGACCATGCTGGCCTCGAACTCACAGAGATCCACCTGCCTTGCCTCCCGAATGCTGGGATTAAAAGTGTTTGACACCAATACCCAACTTCAACCTGCTTTCTTATAGAACCCTGAACCACATGCCCAGGGATGGCACCATCCACAGTGGGCTGGACCCTCCCCCCATTGGTCACTAATTGAGAAATCCCTTACAGTTGGAGCTCAAGGAGACATTTCCTCAGCTGAGGCTCCTTCCTCTGATGACTCTGGCTTGTGTCAGGTTGACGTACAAAGCCAGCCAGTACAACTGACCCCTTGTCAGCTTGACACACAAGCACATCACAACTAATCCACAACTTTTCCTTTCTTATTAATCCCCAAAATCTCATATTAAAAACATAAATAACTTTAGAAGTCCACAGTCTTTACACATTTAAACACATTAAAATCTCAGGCTCAGCCAGGCAGTGGTGGCGCACGCCTTTAATCCCAGCACTCGGAAGGCAGAGGCAGGTGGATCTTTGTGAGTTCGAGGCCAGGCTGGACCAACAGCCTCCAAAACAATACAGAGAAACCCTGTTTCGTAAAAACCAAAAAAAAAAAAAAATCTCAGGCTCTTTAAGATAGCCAATCTCTAAAAATCCAAAGTCTTTTAAAATTCAGAGTCTCTCAACTGTGGGCTCCAGTAAAATACGTTCTTACTTCAGGAGGGAAAATCAGGGGACAGTCACAATCAAAGCAAATCCCAGCCGTCCAATGCCTGGGATCCACCCACGATCTTCTGGATTCCTCCAAGGGCTTGGGTCACTTCACCAGCTCCACAGCACACGCAGCTTGTCTTCTAGGATCCAGCTGGCTCTACTCCACTGCTGTTACTGTCCTTGGTGGTCATCCCATGGATGGTACTGGCATCTCCAAAATGCTGGTCTGCCACAGCTGGGCTGAACTTTCACCAATAACTCTCCCATGGTGCCAACTCTCAAATTCTTTGGATGACCCCTTCAGTCCTGGGCCTTCAACTGTTTTTGAGGCAGGCAGCACCTTCACAAATGGCCTTTCCCAACGCCAAGTCCCAGCTGCTCTCCATGACACCCTCATGACTTCAAAACAAGCACCACCTGGGTGACGCTTACACATTGCTGATTCCTGCTGCCAGCTCGAGCCACCTCTGGAACACAGCTTCCCAGTGCTCTCAAGAAGCTTTCCCCAGATGATGTCATCTCACTGATGCTGGTCTCTTATTTTTTAAAGATTTATTTATTTGTACAGTATTTATTTATTTATACAGTATTCTGCCTGCATTCATGTCTGCAGGCCAGAAGAGGGCGCCCGATCTCATTCCAGATGGTTGTGAGGCACCATGTGGTTGCTGGGAATTGAACTCAGGACCTCTGGAAGAGTAGTCAGTGCTCTTAACCTCTGAGCCATTTCTCCAGCCCGCTAGTCTCTTCTTAATCATTTCTAATTTCTTAGCTTCAGCTGGCCAGCAAACAAGTATCCCAAAAAGCAAAGCTTCACTTTAGTAGTCTGGTCACTTGTTAATCACAACTGATTCTTCAGTCCCAGCTAACCAGAACCACAGAATCTTAGCTCAAAATAACAAATGGCCCAACAGAGTCTTTAATATTCCTCTGAAACTTCACAAGCCAGGCTTTCATCCTCTGTACTGCTCTCTACATTTTAAAGATACATTTATTTATTATGTATTATGTATGCCTGCACATCAGAAGAGGGTACCAGATCTCATTATAGATGGTGATGAACCACCATGCAGTTGCTGGGAATTGAACTCAGGACCTCTGGGAAGTGCAGCCAGTGCTCTTGACCTCTGAGCCAGCTCTCTGGCCTGCTCTCAACATTCTTATAAGCTCTCACAGAACATCCCACAGAACTTTAAGTTCCAAAATCCTTCCACAATCCTCTCTAAAACAGGGTCAGGTTTGTCACAGCAATACGCCACAATCCTGGTACTAACTTGGCTTAGTTAGGGTTTCTATTGCTGGAACAAAACGCCATGGCCAAAAAGCAATTTGGAGAGAAAGGGTTTGTTTGGCTTACACTTCCAGATCTTAGTTCACCATTGGAGGAAGTAAGGACAGGAACTCACACAGGGCAGGGTCCTGGAGGCAAGAGCTGGTGCAGAGGTCACGGAGGGCGCTGCTCACTGGCTTGTTCTCCATGGCTTGCTCAGCTGCTCTCTTATAGAGCCCAGGACCAGCAGCCCAGGGATGGCACCACCCACCATGAACTGAACTCTTCCAAATTGATCAGTAATGGAGAAAATGCCTTCCTGCTGGATCTCATGGAGTTATTTCCTCAACTGAGGGCTCCTTCCTCTCTGATAACTCTAGCGCGTGTCAAATAGACACAAAGCCAGCCAGTACACTTACCCGTGATGCCCAGTTGACCCCATCCCTTCATGGCTCCCTACACTCTGGGCCTCTGATTCCCATCACTCTCCAAAGGCTGACAATGTTACAACCTCTGATATACCACCTACATGACAACTGTCCAACCAGGAATACACACTCACGGTGAGAGGGAAACAGCCAGTGTGGAACGCTGGGAGAGGGCAGGGGTGGGACTCAGAGGACAGTGTGAGCTTCTGGACCCAACACTCAGTTATGGCAATAAACAAGAGTGCAATGCAATACTTAAAGAAACCAGGGGATTGATTGTGACTCAGGGGTAGAGCCCCTGCCTAGAAAATCCCAGCGAGGGGCTTGGGTCCCACCAGTGTTTATTGTTTTTTTAAGTGAATAAATAAGCCCAGGCTGGTGTGTGGTGTGTGTGTGTGTGTGTAAATTGAATTCAGGGCCCTATGCCCTAATCTTCTATGCTCTCCTCTTTTTTCTGTTTTTCGTTTTGAGGTAGAGGTTTCCCAGCGTACCTCGGGCTGGAGTTAAAGTCACAGAAAGCCCCCTGTCTCAGCCTCCCGTGCTGGGATGATGGGTAGCAACAGTCATGCCTAGATTTATGTTTTTCTTCATCACTTCCTGGCAGGGCCCCTGCTCCAGTCTCTCCCCATTTCTGGGCAAATCCCCCCAATCCCCAGAAGGCTCTAGGTTCTCTTGGTCATGAAGGGAGGGGGTGTGGCCTGGAGTTCCCAGTGACTCCAGCCTGTCCTGGGGGTTTCCTTGGGTGTTCTGAGCAGCTGTCCTGCACAGTTCAGAGTGTCCTTGGGGTTGGGGACGATCTGGGAGTGGCAATTGCTCCTTGTTGTCTGGGGCCTGACACAGTTTTGGGGAGATTTGGGTGGTGAAAGGGCCACCACCCTGCACTGGGTCCAGACTCTGGGTCAATGTCCCCTGTGTGTTTCTGTCTCTCCCTATCTCTCGGTCTCTGTTTCTCTGTCTCTCTCCCTCCCTCCTCCCCCGGCATATCTGCCCTCCGCCTCATCCACCTTCCTGGGGCTTCCCCATCAGCCGGAAGTAAGGTCACCCAGTGACTTCTCCCTTTTGGGGCCCTCCCCCTGCCCCCACCTCAAGGCCTTTGACACTCACACACAGGCAGCTGGTGACAGAGTCAGGGCTCCAGTCGCCTCCTGCGCCAACACTGAGCACTGGACAGTCGTCCCCCAGGACCTGGCTCCCTGTGCCGGTCCCTAGCCCCGTGCCCCTCCTCCAGCAAGTCCTCAACGCTAGAGAACAGAACCCCAGACATGTCCCAGCGGTTCCTCCTGTCACTCGCTCTCTGGGCTAGCTGCTCCCATGGCAATGCAGGGACAGGTAGGTGGGCACACTGGGGACTGGGGTGCCTGGGCCAAGGGGACCAGCCCTTCACTTTGGGTCTCAGGTCATCTCTGGAATCGGGTGGGAACTCTCACCTATGCCGGTGGGGGCTGTTCCCATTCCGCTATCAGGATGGGGTCACTGAGGCACAGACAGGCAAAGCCTCATTTATCCAAGCAGAGCAAACCTTGAGTTTAGAGGTTTGTGGAGACACAGTTGACTCTCAGCAACCACGAAGTTTCACCTTTGTGACTCAACTGTGGGTCAGAAACTCTAGGAGATGCTGGGTGTTGATGGTGCACACCTGTCGGGCGGCACTCAGGAGGCTGAGGTAGGAACCTCAGGAGTTCAAGGTCATCTGCAGTTACACAGTGAGTTCAAGGCCAGCCTAGGCTACCTGAGACCCGCCTAAAAAGAAAAGAAGAAAAGGGGGGGGGGGGGTGATGAAAAAACTCAGTTTTCTCATCTAGAAAATGGGCTCAATTGAGGCCTTGGGGGGGTTGTAGCAGACTTGGGAGCTCAGGCTTGTATGCACAACAGAGACCTGCGAGGCGCCTGGAAATTCATGCCCCTGTCTCTCCGGCCCTAGCTGCTCTGAGCCAGTCCAGGGTACGATGCCGTGCCTCTCGGTACCCTGTGGCCGTGGACTGCTCCTGGACGCCATTGCGGGCTCCCAACGCCACGTCCTTCATCGCCACTTACAGGTCAGAGAATAGAGAGGGGCCAGGACGACACGGGGAGCCAACAGATTCCAGTGTCCTGCACACTCCGGGATCGGAGGCAGCCTGGGAGCGAGTGTGGGGTGTGGGTAATCTAGGGGGTTCTTCAGAATCCACACCCCCAGTGTCCCCCTGAGCATGTCCGGGTCCCACGGTCTGTTGTGAGTGGGCTGGGGCCCCTCGGACACCCAGATGCCCTTCTTTCCACGCAGGCTCGGTGTGGCCGCCCAGCAGCAGAGCCTGCCCTGCCTACAGCCGACGCCGCAGGCCACACAGTGCACCATCCCCGACGTGCACCTGTTCTCCACCGTGCCCTACGTGTTAAACGTCACCGCGGTGCATCCCGGCGGAGCCAGCAGCAGCCTCCTGGCCTTTGTGGCTGAGCGGATCAGTGAGTGTCCGTCCTCCCCCGCCCTCGCAGTCCCCCTGTCCTGCCGGGGTCCCCGCAGGGTCGCGCGTCCTCTACTCCAGCCTCACTGGCCTCCCCAACACCCCAGACTCCATCCTGCCCACAGCGTTTGCATGACTTAGTTCCTCAGCCTTCCTAGGTCACTTCTTGGGCATCAGCTCCTCGGTGAGCACCCCCCTCCCAAGTATATTATTAAACATTCGACAAGCTGAGGGTGGTGTACAGAGCTTTAATCCCAGAGGTAGGCAGATCTCTGGGAGTTCAAGGCCAGCCTGTTCTACAGAGTCAGTTCGGGGTTAGTGGGCTTCAAGAACCCCAAGATTCTGTCACTAGCAGAAAGGGAGAGGAACCGGGTGAAGGCCAGTGAAAGGCTACACTGCCCTCAAAGGGTTAAACAAGGGGTCTCCACGCGATCTGACAACTCCACTCCCAGGTAACGGCTCACCAGAAATAAAAATGTCCATCCCTCAAATCCTTGGCAGCCTTGTTCACAGCATCTAGAAGGGGGCAGCCCATGCCACCTGTCCTTGGATGGATGGACACACAGTGTCGATCTGCACAGAAGAACACCACGCAGCCCTGAACAATGAGGCTCTGGTGCCAACTACAGTGTGCAGGAGGGACCTTGGGGACACCGCTCAGACAGCAGCCCAGGCACAAACCACACAGCCAGGGATCCAGGACAGGGGAATCCAGAGTCAGAAGGAGATCTGTGGGTGCTGAGGGCCGGGGTCGGGTAGGGAGATGGCTCATGGGTATAGAGCTTTTTTTGGCACGAGGCAGTGTTCCAGAGGCAGGCAGAGAAATGGTAACACTCTGACGATGCACCCATGTCCCCCAGCAGTCAGGAAAGCCCTTCAGCCCACTCAGGACTTGCACTCTGAAACTTCTGTGAGCAGCGATGCCTGCTCCTTGGGCAGACGGGTGAATGAATGAGTGATGGTATGAATGGGTGAGTAAAAGACCACAAATGCATGAAAGGCGAGAGCCAATGTATGGTTGAATGAAGGAGGGAACCAGAGTCTGATGGATGAACGAACGGAGCCGATCCTAACCCCGCCCCTGCTTCCCGCAGTCAAGCCCGACCCCCCGGAACGTGTGCGCCTGCGAGCCGCGGGGCAGCAGCTGCAGGTGCTCTGGCATCCCCCTGCCTCCTGGCCCTTCCCGGACATCTTCTCTCTCAAGTACCGCGTCCGCTACCGGCGCCACGGGGCCTCTCACTTCCGCCAGGTGAGAGGGGGCTGGGAGAACGGATTCCCCTGGCATCCTCCAGCCTCCACCTCCCGCCTCTCTGTGGGAGCGCTGAGATCTCAACTCTGCAGCTGGCTTGCCCGAGTGCTGGGGTTTCCAACTCACAGCAAGCGCTTTACCCAGCAGGCGGCTCCCAAGCTCCTGGCACGTCAGTACATCGTGGTCCTACCCACCGCCTCCTCTCTTCCCGCAGGTGGGACCTATTGAAGCCACGACCTTCACCCTCAGGACCACAAAGCCCCACGCCAAGTACTGCGTCCAGGTGTCAGCCCAGGACCTCACGGACTATGGGAAACCAAGTGACTGGAGCCTCCCTGGGCAAGCGGAAGCCCTGAAGCGGGACTAGGTCCTTGATAGCAGACCCTGATGTGCTGGGATGCTTTAGCAACGTTGACCTCTCCTGACATCAATTTCCAAACCTGTGGGGATAGTATTTCTCCTTCCATCAGTGCAGGCTTTGTGAACTGTAAATGTGATTTGATTAGAAATTTTTTAACGAACAAGAATTCTTAGCCCGGCCTGGTGAAACCTACAGAGACAGCTGACCTGAACAAGAGGGAGCTCTTGGACCCCAGACTGATGGCTGAGAGGCCAGCATGGGACTTATCCAAACCCCCCCTGAATGTGGGTGTTAGTGAGGAGGCCTCGGCAATCTATGGGGCCTTGGGATCAATATTTATCCCTGGTGTACAAATGGACTTTGGGTGCCCATCCCGCAATGAGGGATGCTGTCTCAGCCTGAACACATGGGGAAGGGCCTAGGCTCTGCCCTGGATGAAATGACAGACTCTGGAGATCCCCCATGGAGGGCCTCACCCTCCCTGGGGAGTGGAGTGGGGATTGGGTAGGAGGCTGGGAGGGCTGGTGGGGGCTGGGGAGGAGGGGAGGGAGAGGGAGCTGGGATTGACATGTGAAGCAAGCTTGTTTCTAATTTAAATAAAAAGATTAAAATATATAAATAAATAATAATAATAAAGAATTCTTAGCCCAGCAGTAGTAGCACACACCTTTAATCCCAGCACTTGGGAGGCAAAGGCAGGCAGATCTCTGAGTTAGAGGCCAGCCTGGTCTACAGAGTGAGTTCCAGCACAGCCAGAACTACACAGAGAAACCCTGTGTAAAAAAAAACCAAACCAAACAAAGTTATTATTATGGGGAGGGTGGCATTTGAGACAGGACCTCTTTGTTTAGGCCTGGCTGTCCTACATCAGGCTGGTCTCAAACTCACAGACATCCTACTGTCTCAGTCTCTTGAGGGCTTGGATTAAAGACGTATGCCACCACCACCCGACAATAATGTTAACTATTTTTAAATTTTAAATATTTTAAGGATGTTCAGTGCCCACATCGGCCAGATGAGGGCGCCAGAGCCCTGAAGCTGGTGTGGCCGGTGCTCTGGAGCGTCCAGCCACCACCACTCCAGCCTCTTGTCCCCTGAGTAGCAACGTGGTGGGTTGTCTGTGTTCGACTACCCATGACCCCCAAACAAGGCTTTTATGAGGAAAAGAAATTGATGTGGCTCAGTGTTTTCAGGAGCTGGGAAGACCCAGCACGGTGTTTGTTTCCAGGAGGAATCATCGTGGTACAATGCCTAACAGGGGAAGGATCGGGAACACACGGTTGGGAGAAAGGGAGGGGATAAAGCAAGCTAGGTGTCAGGCCCAGGTTCCCATCACGGGCCCTGCATAAGGAAGGGGGGGAGTGAGTTACCAGTAGGTGAATGTTGGGACACACACACACACACACACACACACACACACACACACACCATAGCACCTGTTTCCCCAATTGAGAGCCAAACAGGATGCAGCCCAGCCTTGTCGAAATGAGGACAGAGGAAAAGAACAGTGGGAAGTTAAAAGCCAGCCTGGGAGACCCTACCTCAAAAGAATTAAGAGGAGGAGGCTTGGGGGCTGACTCAGGGGTGGAGTCCCAGGTGAGGGGGCTGGCGGCGGGGCTCAAAGGCAGGGGTTTGCCATAGTTTGTATGCACAAATAATAAATAAGCAAATGTAAAAGCCAGTCTAAGCCTGGCGTGGTGCACACGCTTTAATTCCACCACTCAAGAGGCAGAGGCAGGTGGATCACTGAGATTTCAAGGACAGCCTGGACTATGCGCTGAGTTCCTGTCTCACAAAAGAGAAAAAAAAAGAAAAAGAAAAAACACAAACCAACAACAAAACGTAATGAAAACCAGGCAGGTCACTGATTTCCAGCTACTCAAGAGACTTGCAGTATGATTGCTGCAAGCTTAAGGCCAACCTGGGCTACAGAAAGCTCCCCCTCTCTGGGCATTTTACAGAAAGGCTGTCTCAAGGTGAGAGGACTGGGTAGTGGCTCGGTGGTAGTGCCTGCCTGGCATGTGCAAAGACCCCGTGTTCAATCCCCAGCACCAGAAATGAAGGAACGAACCAACGAAGAAACAACAGAGCAGGGCATGGTGGCCACATCTTTAATCCCAGCACTCGGAAAGGCAGAGACGGGAGGATCTCTGTGAGTTCGTAACCAGCCTGGGATACATGGTGAGTTTCAGTACAGCCAGGGCTACCCAGTGAGACCCTGAAAAAACAACATCAATAGAACAGCAGTGCGGGACAAAATCTTATGGACTCCCGGCAGCGACCCAGAGGCTCCCGGAACCTTTATTTACTACCTCACCTACGGGCACTCAGGAAGGAAAAGAGAGAGCAAATGCGACCTTGATCGACAGAGATTGCAGCCAATGAGAATGCTAAAGCCCAGCAGACGACCAAGGAAGTGACGTCCAGAGAACCGCAGCGCCTGGTCGGGTAAACTCCGAGCGGACCTAAGCGAGCGGCTTCTTTGCTTGTGCGACGGGCAGGGAGCGAACATGTCGGAACGGAAAGTTCTAAACGTAAGTGCTCAGGGTCCAGATGTTTCTGCCGAGAGTGGGACATCCGAGGGCTCCGGGAGAGACTCGCTTCCTCCCAGTTATTTCCTTTCGGAATTTCTCCGCCACAGCGGGTTTCCGTGGGGCGGAGCTTCCCTTGTCTCTTGCCAATGACATTCTTAGGGGCGGGTTCGCTCATGTTTCCCTTCCGGCTTAGCAGACGTGTCATCAGGGCTTACGTCGCCTCATCCGATTGGTTTTTCTAAAGGAAACTCTCCAGTCGCTTTTTCTGGGGCGTTGGCGACCTTAGTTCGTCCCAGTTCTTGTTAAGCGAATATTGGCCGCGTTTTCTACATCGGTTTGAGTGACTGGGATGCAGGGACTCAGTTTCCTCTCCTGGAAAACCTGACTCTCCATTTCCTGGATGTGTGTGTGTCCGTTCTGTCTGTTCCGAGTCAGTGTCTCACTGCATAGCCCAGAATGGCCTCAGGTTCAGACCCACCTGCTTGAGCCTCCCCACTGCTGGGATTAGAGGCGTGTACCCTTAGCTGGGCTATATTCATCTTTAGAAGACTTACCAAGTTTTTTAATTTGTTACGTACACGGCATTCTGCCTGCATGTAGGTTTGCAGGCCAGAAGAGGGCACCAGATCCTATTGTAGATGGCTGTGAGCCACCGTGTGGTTGCTGGGGACGGAACCCGGGACCTCTGGAAGAGCAATCGGAGCTCTAAATCTCTGAGCCATCTCTCCAGCCCAGGCTTACCTATTTTTTTAAAATGATTTTATTTATTTATTATGTATACAGTATTCTGTCTGCATGCATCCCTGTAAGCCAGAAGGGGGCACCAGATCTCAGTACAGATGGTTGTGAGCTGAGAACGGAACCCTGGACCTCTGGAAGAGCAGTCAGTGCTCTCTTAACCTCTGAGCCATCTCTCCAGCACCAGGCTTACCTATTTTTTATTGTATGTTTTGCCTGCATGTGTGCAGCACCCAGCCTGACTGCAAACTCACTTCCTCTGCATCAGCCTGTCCTGGTGTGACAGGCACACACCACCATGCCAGCATCCTCCTGAAACCTTGGCAAAGCTCCAGTCAAGCAAGGGAGACATCCCCCTCCCCTCCCCCCTCCCAGGGGGTCCTGCCGCCAGCAGGTGTCCAAAGCAGAGTGCCTCCTCGCTGGTGGTCCACACAGTTTCTCTGGCTTTTCTGCAGGGGAGTTTGTCATTCTCCACCCCGCTGTCTCACACTCCCAGGTGCTGGGGATAGTGGGTGTGAGCATTGGCAGGATCTCCATAACCCAGAGTGGCTGTGCCTGTGTGTCTCACCCCAGCCTGCCAAGTACACAGAGAGGAGATTCGCTGGCCATGTTGTATCCTGGGATGGTGTCCGGGAGCCTGTGTGGTTCCCTAGTCCAGGATAGACCATCATCGACAATGCCTGGTTTATGTTGAGCTCCAGTTATCTCGTGAGCATCTAGAGTCTTACCATGTACTGAGCAGAAGGGGTCCACCCCCACTGCAAATCCGGGGCCTCTAGAACCTTACCTGCAGGGAAGGCATATAACAGCTCATGGGAGCAGCATGCACTCACTCTGTGATATGTCTGGGAGAAGGTTCTGGAAGTTTGTGCACTCCTCCCCATTTCAACTTCTCATGGTTGTTCTTCAAACAGCCCATGTCTGGAAAGGCATGAGCAGGATGAATCCTGGGCAGATCCCTGAAACTGGGGTATCTTGGGTCCTCCTGGCTCCCAGATCCCCTTTCTGCCCATTTGGGACCTGAGTACAGGAAAACAGCAGCACCCTCTTCCCCTACAGAAATACTACCCACCTGACTTCGATCCATCAAAGATCCCAAAACTCAAGCTACCCAAGGACCGGCAGTACGTGGTTCGGCTGATGGCCCCCTTCAACATGAGGTGAATCCCCAGGGGTGTGAGGCCAGGGCTGGAGTCTGTGGAGAAAGAGCCAACAAGGATGAAATCCCTGTCCCCGTGGAGTCCCCAGCCCCTTATCAGCAGGCCTCCATGGACAGTGAGAGTGACGCTTGGTCCTGCAGGCTTCTGTGGTGGCAGCCCTCCCCCCCCCGCCCCAGGGCCCTTGCACCAGCCTCTGGCCTCTGCCTGCAGTGCTCATGTCAGTGGCTCCTCTCCTCCTCACAGAGCCGCCTCCCGTCTCACCAGACAGGCTGCTAGCCTCCTCCATAAGCCTGCATCACACCCCTCCCCTGCTTTCCTGGGCTTCTCCAGCTTGGAATCAAACAGCCACTCACACTTGATCTTATGTGGGAATCACACTCCTGTTACTCACACCCTAGTGGCCACTGAGCATGGAGAGGCTGTCCATATTGACTGGTTGGTCATGTGTCGTGTTCACCCCTCCATCCGTACCTGCCGTAGTCACCGTGGACACCGGAACTCCTACAACAGAAAGCATTTAGCTGGTGCTGGGTTAGATGTAGAGACTTAGTCCTCTGTCACGGCGGGGAGCCGCGGCAGGCACGGTGCCAGGGAATAGTGGAAGCTGCCCCCTGATCCACGGGCAGAGAGAGACACTGGGCCAGCCCGACCCCAGAGACACACTTCCTCCAACAGGGCCACACCTCCTGATCCCTCTAACCCTCCCAAGTAGCACCCCGCCCTGGTGACTAAGCCTTGCAGTGTATGACCCTAGAGAGGCCATTCTTGTTGAGACCCCCACGCTCCTCCGACAAGCAGTTGTCAGATACCTGCCGTCGGCCCAGGACACACCCCAGCCTCAGACGCTCAGTCTAGAGTGGAGTGGGGATGCTGCCCATCCTCTGGCAGTCACACAAGGACACAGGCGGGGAAGTGTGAGGGTCTCGGCTGTGCGGTCTTCGGACCAAGCCAGAGGCGTTGGTCAGCACCGCAGGAAGGGAAGAGGGGCCAGGGCGCAGGGTCCTGCGGTCACCTGCTTGGGGTCTCAGAAGCCCATGTACCCAGGCAGGGCATCCTCCTGGAGATGCATATGCTGTGGTCAGTACAGAGTGCAGAGAGGCTCACACGCCTGCGCTGGCCGCAGGTGTAAGACGTGTGGAGAGTACATCTACAAGGGGAAGAAGTTCAATGCTCGCAAAGAAACGGTGCAGAACGAGGCCTACCTGGGCCTGCCCATCTTCCGCTTCTACATCAAGTGCACGCGCTGCTTGGCCGAGATCACCTTCAAGGTAGGGGCTGCCTCCACTCGCTCACAGCCTTTCCCTCTGGGGACAGCCACAGAGGGGCCGGGGAGGGCGCTTGCAGCAAGACCCCACACAGAAAAGCCTGTCCACCTGCGTGTGGGGCCTGAGGTGGCTGAATAGGCGAGGCTCTCAAGTATTACAGAGAGGAAGTCGCGCTGTGCTCCTGCTTCATTTGTTGTGATTAGTCAGTCTCCTGTAGCGCAGGCTGGCCTCGAACTCCTGTGTGACCAGAGTGGCCATGATCCTCCTGCCTCCACCTCTGGTGCTGGGGTGACAGGTGTGTGCTGCCACATCTGTCTAAAAGTCGTGATTTTCTTTCGTGTTTCTTGGGATGGAAGCCAGGGCTCTGCAGGCCTCTGGCGAAAACGAGAATTCGGGGAAAGACAGGAGAAGGGAAATTCTCTTCTCAGATCTGCACCATTAGAGGCTTTGGGTTTGGTCGGTTGGTTTTGTTGTTTTTTTCACTGTAAGCTTTTTTCCTGTGACTTCAAAATAAGAATTTTTTTTGAAGTGAACAAAACATAGCTTGAAGAAGTTACATTTTTATTTCACACGTGTATCTCTGGAATGTCTGTATGCCTGGTGCCCTTGAAAGCCAAAAGGGGCATCGGGTACCCTGGGCCTCGCATTAGAGGTGGTCATGGGCCGCCATGTGGGTGCTGGGACCTGAACCCTGGTCCTCCGCAAGAGCAGCCAGTGCTCTAACCCCTGAGCCATATCCTCATACGGTACCCCAGGCTAGCCTCATTCACTTCAGAGCTCCCTGACAGAGGAGCACCACATGGAGTCAACTGTGTAGCTGAGAAGCAGGCAGGTCTAATGTAATTCATAAGCAAGAAGACAAGGCTAGATGCGTGCACAGCCCGAGGCCTGACGTGAGGTCCAGGGTGCAGAGGGCACAGGGGGAGGACAAAGTCACGGACTTGAGGGGCAGTGAGCCCACGCCCAGTCAGGTGCTCTTTGGTGTGGCCACAATACTCCAGAGAGTGTGGCCCTTAGGAGGAAGGCCACAGCCACCAAAGGAGTAAGCGGAGACAGGAGCTGGCCCAGGGAATGGGGAAACGCACACGGGGACGCAGTCAGCAGCCTGGGGCCGTCGGTGAGTCTGTCCCTCCCCTCGCCTTGCAGACAGACCCCGAGAACACCGACTACACCATGGAGCACGGGGCCACGCGAAACTTCCAGGCTGAGAAGCTCCTGGAGGAGGAGGAAAAGCGCGTGCAGAAGGAGCGTGAGGACGAGGAGCTGAACAACCCCATGAAGGCGAGCCCCTGGCCGCAGCGCCTCCGCTCTGCACCCCTTCCCATTCCCCGCTCCTGACCCTCCCTCACGGAAGGATGTACCCCCTGGTCGCATGCTCCCCTCCTCCACCCATGCCCTTTGCCTGCCCCTGCCCACGCCCCCTCAACGCCCTGTGCCCCCAGGTCCTGGAGAACCGCACCAAAGACTCGAAGCTGGAGATGGAGGTGCTGGAGAACCTGCAGGAGCTGAAGGACCTGAACCAGCGGCAGGCGCACGTGGACTTCGAGGCCATGCTGCTGCAGCACCGCCTGTCACAGGAGCAGTGGCGACAGCAGCAGGAGGAGGAAGATGAGCGAGAGACCGCGTGAGCTGCCCGGGCCTTTCCGGATCTTCCCAGGGCTGCCCCCTGCTCGCCTCCCCTCCACCCGGAACCCCCTCCTGCCCTGTGCCCTTGTACAGCTGCCCGGACCCTCGGGATCCAGTGCTGCACAGCCGTGACTAGCTTTTCATTTGGGTCCCACGGCTGCGCGTTTAATTCAGGCTGGCCTCAGAATCACTGAGTAGCCAAGGATGGCCTTGAACTCCTGATCCTCCATGGTCCACGTCCCCAGAGCTGGGGTGGTAGTAGGCATGTGCCTATTGCACCCAGATTAGATTCACTCAATTATTTCTGTGGTGCTGGGTGTATACCTTAAGCCTCACGTGTGCCAGCCAAGCTCTCAGCCCCTGAACCACTGCCCTGAAAATTGTTAGCATTGCCCCCTGCTCCCCTGTTCCTCACCCTCTGACAGCAGGAAGAGGCAGCAGCCCCTCGATGCTGCAGCAGAGACCCCTGGGGACCATCCCTACAGCGAGTCCTCACTGTGTCTGTCCTCTAGGGCCTTGCTGGAGGAGGCTCGCCACCGCAGGCTTCTGGAGGATTCCGACTCAGAAGATGAAGCTCTGCCTTCCCGACCACGGGCAGCAGTGAGACCCAGCCCCACAGCCATCCTGGATGAGGTGAGCAGGGTCAGACTGCAGAGTGTGAGTGCCCAGGTTGAGCCGCACTAGAGACCATGAGCAGCAGGACTGACTTCATAACAGGACAGACAGCCCACAGTGTGGCTCAACACTGCTTCCTGCTTCTGCACCCGGGGAGGGAGTAGCTGGTGAAAAGTCCACCGAAGGCAGAGAGGCAGTCCAGGGCCTGCCCCACAGCACAGGCCCGGGGTTTACCCGATGCGCGCTAACCCACAGCACAGGCCCGGGGTTTACCCGATGCGCGCTAACCCAGATGCACTGGTCTAGGCGAGGTGACGGGCACCTTTAATCCCAGCACTTGGGAACAGAGGCAGGCGGATCTCTCACATGTGAGGTCTGCCCGGGCTACATAGCAAGAGCTGTTTCCAAAAATAGAGCCAGATGCAGCCCAGCAGGCCTGGGATCTGGCACCAGGAAGGCAGCGGTAGGAGAGTCCTGGGTTGTACTGAGTGGGATCTGCAAGCCACTGAGAGACAATGGTGCCTCAGAATCCATGGTGGGGGTCAACTGATGAAGACAGATGTTAGCCTCTGGCTTCCACACGGGCACATTGGACAGCTAAAAGCCCACAGGCTATTAAAGATGAAGAGGTGTCCCTGGGTCCTGTCAGGGTTCTGGGCGTGTCCAGGACTTTGCAGCTGCTCCAGCCCCTGCTGCTGAAGGTTCTAGTGCCTTCTAGCCTCTTCTGGCTGCATCCAGGTGTGAGTTGCCAGTGTCCACTCAGCTTTTGGGTCAGCAGACAGCCTCAGGCATGTGGCCTCCCTCCTACCCTGGTTGAGACAGGATCTCCTCTTGTGACAGCTGTGTGGACGAGGCCCAGTGACTCCCAGGGTTCTCTCGTCTCAAACTCCCATCTCCCATCAGTGCTGGGGTTATAGCCATGCGCTTCTGTGCCTAGCTCTTCATGGTGCTGGGGACTTGAACCCAAGTTCTTCAGACAGGCAAGCTAGCCCGCTGGACCCTCTTCCCGGCCCCTGTGGTCTTCCCATGTGGAACCCAGACTTGCTCGGGTTCTGGTTGTCTTGTTCTTTAAAGAAGGGTCGTCATACTCCACAGCCCATTCTGACCTCAGCCCCACAGCCCTCCTGCTGCAGCCTCCCATGGGCCAGGGTGACAGACAGATCTGCACATCACACCTCACTTCTTCACGCCCAGGGCCCTGGACAGTGCCGTACACCTGTCATCAGCGCATGGGGAGCCCAAGGCCAGCTTGGGCTGCAGGTTGAGCCCCTGCGGTGTGCTAGGAGCTGTTGGTGGCACTAGGGAGCTAGTGGTCAAAGAAACTGTTGTGGGCCTGGATATACTACAGTTCCTAAGACTGCACATGACTACACATAGGGCAGGTGCTTGAGATGGGTATTGAGGGATGGGTAGGAGCTCACAGGATGAGAAGCAGCAGGTGAGAAGTCTCAGATGCCACCTTGGGAGCCAGAGAGGAATGCAGAGCTATAGCAGACTTGGTATGCAAACTGGCTCCACAGAGCCGGGTCAGGGAAGTCAGAGAGCAGCAGTTGTCATGGTCTCCACAGGCCCCGAAGACCAAGAGGAAGGCAGAGGCGATGGGCATCAGGGCACAGCTGACTGGCTTGGTTGTGCCAAAGAAGGTGAAGACGGAAGCCAGTGGGGGCGCAGAGCAGGACTGGATGCCAACCTCAGGTGAGTCCCACAGCAGCCCAGGAGGCAGTGGTGCGCATGGCACTCTCTAGAAGCTTCATACAGTGGGTGGAGTGAGGCCGGTGACCAGAGTGGGGTTACGGCTCACCCAGCACTCAGCAGAGGGAGGCAAGAGGATCAGGGGCTCGGGGTTAGCCTCAGCTACATAAGGAATTTAAGGTCAGTCTGGACACATGAGACCCTGTCTTAAGAAAAAGGAGTCAGGCTATGATAGCAAATGCCCTTAATCCCTGTGAGTTCGAGACCAGCCTGATCCATAGATGGAGTTTCAGGATAGTCAGGGCTACACAGGGAAACCCTTTCTCAATGAAAAACAAAGAAAACAAAAAAAAAAAAGGAGCAAAGGTCTGGAATTGAAGTCACATGATAGCTATGATTGCCATGTGACTGGCCGTACAGTGTCAAGGGACCCCACATCGCTGTAGATGGTGTGCTGCCCATGTGACCACAGTGTCCTTTGTATGGTTTGCATAATTCACCCTATTTAGATAGGTTGACACACCTTTGACTTGGGGTTGTCACAGCCACTGTTAGCATTTGTCAGAGGCAGATCCTAAAGCTCAGAGAGGGTTACCTACTGCCTGAAGCCACACAGCAGGTCGGGTGTGGAGGCCCTTTGTACCCTTAGTCATGAAGGCACTTGGTCCTTGACACTGTCCTTGTGTCATGTGGACATCAACTGCCTAGGTGGGGTCTCCCGGGCCAGTATAGGACTGAGGTGACACTCCCCTGCCCTGCATCCCTGGACCACCTTGCCCTCCTCACAGGTGCCCCCGAGAGCAGGAAGGCGACCAACCTTGCACCCCAGAGACCTGGGGCCTCCTCCCTGAGCCAGCTGGGTGCCTATGGAGACAGCGAGGACAGTGACAGCTGAGCCCCTGTGGTGGCATCACAGACCCAAGAAGCCAGAGGAGGAGATGGGATCAAGGCAGGCACCCTCAGCAAACGCCTCGTGACTGTGTCTGCCACGGGTCTCCGCAGGGAGTGGAGAGCCAGAGTCTCTCAGCACAGGCGTCTCTGAACAGACAGCCTGGCCCATTCTGCAGCCTTTGAGTTATGGGAAGCCTGTTTGCCCTGTCCCTTCCTGCCACAGATCTGAACACTGTGTGACATGGGGCAAGGGCAGGGTCCCTGGGGACCATCTCCCAACAAGGCTCTACCCTCAACACAATAACACTGAGTGAAAAAGAAGAAAATCCATTGGTAACCATGTGTGCCATCCAGAGACCCTGTGCAACTGTATGACCAGAGCTTAACACTCCTGGGATTGCAGCCACACCCCAGCCTTGGGCCCGGGCCCTCAGCACAAGACCCTCATTCAGAATTTGGCGTTATATTAGTCTGTGCTCTGGTACTGTAAAAAAAAAAAAAAAAAAAAAAAAACTGCCAAGGCTGAGTCTGTTGTTTAGAACACAGTGAGCCTGGTACTGCTGGTGCTGGTGGAGAGCAGGCACATGTAGCCCAGGCTAGCCTCCACCTCCACCCCCAGTGCTCAGATTAGAAACATGAACCACCAAGTTGATCTTAAGCCTGAAATGTTCATGTTGCAGTCTGCCCTCCCCTGAATTCTTCCTTTGCACACCCCATATCCTCGCCCCCGCCCCAGGCAAGAGCAGGGACGCTCTGGGGTCTGGTTGGAGCCCTCTCTAGCTCTGCAGCTGTCACCATGTCCTCAGAAGTGTCAGGTCTAACTTGCTGTCTCCTCCATCAGATCCCTGGAGCCCCCTGGCGACAGAAGCTGCCAGGCCAGGGCTGACCCCACCACCTGTCCTGGCACCCAGTGAGACACTAGCTGGACCAGCTTGCCCATGGCCCTCTGCCAGCCTGCTGCTCACAAGCCTGTCCCTGTGCTGTGACACATGCTGGAGGCACGCTGTAATCCCGCTGTAAGGCCTCTTGGGGACCTTGAAAGTCAGTGACTTGCATCTTCCCTCAGGCTGTGGCCCAGAAGCAAGCGTGAACTTCCATCTGACTGGGCACCAGTGGAAATGTGCTCATGCCTCCTCCCTCAGCCTGTGGCCCAGGGAAGCAACTATACTTCATCTGACCGGGGGCCGCTGAAGGCAGAGTCATGCCTTCCCCATGGGTGCAGCCTCACAGACACACTGGACCAATGTACCACCCCTTGTGTCACACTTCTGCGCAGATCTGAGGTGCAGTCAGCGAGACCCCGTTAGTCTGTGTATTAGTAACACTTGTGTGCCACATGGTGGAACCTCACACAACTCCACCTCATGTCACTAACCTGCTGGAATGTGGAGCCAGTGAGAGGACCAGACCCGGAAGTCCACTGAGAAACTCCAAGTCTGCTAATACCCAGAACAAGCTGACAGAGACAGGACGATTCCCGGAGACTGGCAGGGAAATGGGGGGTGGGGGGATGTTCTGAACCAGAGTGCAGGTTACATGGCTTTTCTGATACACTGTGCAGGCCACTCGTGCCCTGATTCTTTCTGTTTTTGCTTGGGTTTAAGGTGCTGAATATGGGACCTAAGCGCCCCCCCAGTGTTGGGCTAATGCTCCCCTCTTAGCCACCTCCACCCCCAGCCCTTGGGTTGTACTTTTAAGAGGGCCAGCAGTAGGACATCAGGATCAGTGGGACACACTCGGGGGCTGCCCCTGCCCATCTTCCAAGTCATCCATCAGGATGTACCAGGGTGGCCACTGTGACCCCCATCCCCCATCAGAAAGTCAAGTCCCGGCTCTTTTCTCGGCCTTCCCTCCCTCACACACACCCACCTGGTCCCCTCCGGAGGCTCCGAATCGAGGGGAAGTCAAGCGCCGTTTGGTTCCGCCTCAGGGCCCCTGATTGCCATTCCTGCCACGCACCGTTATCCGTCCTTCATGCTGCGGACGAGGCTCGAGTGTGATGCCAACGGCTGCCCAACACACTCTGGAAGATTATCTGCACGCTCTGGGGGCTCTGCTGTGCCGAGATAGGAGCTGCGGGTGGTCAGGGAACACAGCCGACTCCGATGCTGTGCTCACTCTAAGCCTCAGTTTCCCCCACGTGTAAAGCAGGGCTCACAGAGGATGAGAGGATGAACGCTCATCCTGTGAGCAACCAGTGCCACCCTCGAGATGTCCCGGCACAAACTGACGGATGGGTGGCCTGAGTAACGCCCCACTCTCATAACCTCTCTGTGTGTGTCTCAGTTTCCCCAGCCGGAACGTCGCAGTGGGTAGTGCGCTTGCCTAGCTTGCTGGAAGCCCTGAATGTCATCCCTAGCACTGGGAGGCTTAGGCAGTTGGATCAAATGAGTTGGAGGCCAGCCTGGGAAACCTGAGACCCTTCAGCAGTAACTCTCGTCTGTCAATGCTTCTGGCTCTGTTTACCATCTGGGGACTAAGGCACAGAGACCCATGGCCGTGGCTCAGGCGACGCTGGCTGACTCCTGCCCTGCACTTGCCCTCCTTAGGGTCCCGCTTCCCAGCCTCCTCTCCAGCTCTTAGGGTCCCAGCCCGCTCCCCTCCCTCCCTCCGCGGACCCGCAGCTGCGGCCGCCTCCCGCCCCTCCCCCTCGCCTGCCACAAAGCGACGGACGCGGCGGTGACGGACGGCGCCTCCCGCCCCGCGCCACCGCCAGCCGCGACCCTGCGCGATGCTCGGGTCTCTCGCCCAATCCCCTCCCGGCCCCGGTCCCAAGGGCGACGCTGTCCCCGCGCCGGTGCCCTCTTCTTCCGAAGCCCTCCCGGGTCCGGGTCCCGCCGTCCCCGCCCCGAAGTGGCTGGAGGTCTGAGGTCTGCAGGTCTGTCCGCGGGGCGGGGGCGGGACCCGGTGGCACACGGTGTCCTCGCCCCTCCCACAGCCCCGAGAGCCCGGGCCGGGACCCTGGGGTTTATGTCCCTTTGTGCGGCGGCAGTAGGCGGTTCGGGAATTGGGGAGGTTAAGAGGTTGCGGGGGCGGGGGTTGTGGGGAATAAGGGACCCGGGAATTAGGGAAATGGGGAGGTTAAGCGATGGGGGTAAGGGATCCGGAGGTTAAGACATGTGGGGGTTAGGGATCCTAGAGTTAAGGGGTACGGGGCGGGGGGGTTAAGGGATCCGGGTGTTAAGGGAAGGGGAGGTTAAGAGATGGGGGTAAGGGATCCAGGTGAAGGGGTACGGGGGCGGGGTTTAAGGGATGGGAGGTTAAATGATATGGATGGGGAGGTTAAGAGATTGGAGAGTAAGGTATATGGGGGAGTCAAGAGATGGGGGTAAGGGGTGGGAGGTTAAGTGATCTGGGAGGTTAAGCGATGGGGGATTAAGGGATAAGGGGTTAAGGGATGGGGGCGGGTAAGAGATAAGGGGGTTAAGGGAATAGATGGGGATTTAAGGAATCAGCCCGGTGGGACCCTTGGGATCGGACACAGGGAGTACGACGCTCTGGGTGGCCCAGCCTCTGGCAACTTTATGCGTGGGGCTCCAGAGGACAGTGGCGCTGACACCATACTATGTCGCCTGCAACTCAGACCCGGAAAGTGCATGACTCCAGCGGCTGTGAGGTCACCACCTGCTGCCCCCTCCGCTCTGAGCTCAGCCTAGGAATCCTGACCTCCCCACCCCTCCTCTTCCCTCTCCTCTGTCCTCTCGATTCTTTCTACCCCTTTTGTCTCTCCCCTCCTCCCTCCCCCCAGGACAAGCTGCGGAGCGCGCATGGAAGCCCTGGTCTAACACCAGCCTATTTCGGGGACACCGATGGCCAAGTGGCTCCGGGACTATCTGAGCTTTGGTGGCCGGAGGCCCCCACCGCAGCCGCCCACCCCAGACTACACCGAGAGCGACATCCTAAGGGCTTACCGCGAGCAAAAGGACCTGGACTTCGAGGATCCCTACGAGGACTCCGATGGCCGCCCCGAGCCAGAGCACCCCGGTCCAGGCGACACCAAGTACGACTCTCCCAGGCACCGGCTGATCAAGGTGGAGGCTGCGGATATGGCCAGAGCCAAGGCCCTGCTGGGCAGCCCCGGGGAGGAGGTGCGTCCCCACCTCACGTTCCCTCCTCACATTCCTCCGCTCCCCACCTCAGAGGAATCTGGGAGCTTCTAGGCTAGTCGCCCTCTCCTAGAGCCATTCTCCATTCAGAAAGACCGAAAGTGAGCGCTGTTTTTGTTTTGTGTGAGACTCGGTGCAAAGTAGCCCAGGCTGGCCTCAGACTCACTACTTAGCTGGCTATGATCTTGAACTCCTGAGACTCCTGCTTCTACTTCCCAAGTGTGTGTCACAGGATTACAGGCGCGTTTCACACTAGAGTTTTATGCTGGGTATGATGGAAACTGGACCTGGTGCATGCTGGGACAAACCCTGCTTAGTTCTATGGCAGGGTTTCTCAGCCTGTTGGCCACACCCCTTCTGTGTCCAATGACCCTTTCACAGGGTCACCTAATACCATCGGAAAACACAGATATTAACTACAATTCATAACAGTAGCAAAACTACTGTAGTTATGTAGTAGCAGTGAAAATGATTCTATGGTTGGGGGTCACAACGTGAGAGACTCCATTGAAGGGTCAGAGCATCAGGAAGTTTAGAACCACTGCTCTATTGTTTTGGTTTTCAGACAAGTGCTCTCTGTGAAACCCAAGCTGACCTAAAACTTGTTACCCTCCTGCCCCTGAAACCTCTGGAAGAGGGGAACATGAGAGGAGGAAGGGTCACAGGGAGACAGACTGGAATTAAACTGACTCATACTCAGCAGCTGTGTGGCCCTGCCCAGGCCACTAACCTCTGGTTTTTCTTCCCTCGCCTGTAAAGCAGGCTTATCGGAGGGCTTATGGGCTGGTATTGGAAGGATACCAGTGGGCTCTGGGAACTGGGTTTGAATTCCCAAAACCCATTTAAAGGGCTGAGTGTGGTGATCTGTGCTTATAACAGCAGCGCTGGGAAGGTGGGTACAGGAGATTTCCAGGACTCCCTGGCCAGCCTAGCTCTGAGAGACGCGAGATGTCCAGCAAGTGCAGGCAGAGAGCACAGTGTCACACAACAGGGGCAGCCACAGCTAGCCTGAGTCTTTTCCAGCAGCCTCAAGAAGACACTGAGTACTCTGACCCTTTCGATGCCCAGCCTCAGCCGCCAGCCCCAGATGGTGGGTACATGGAGCCCTACGATGCCCGGGGCAGCTCGAGCGGTGAGTGCACAGGGCTGAGGATGAGGACACGGTCCTGTCCTACGGGGGGGGGAGGGTGACCAGTGTCTCCTCTACCCCAGAACGGCCAAGCAGAGCCGTCCAGCTGTACGATACTCCTTACGAAGAGGAGCAGGGTGCAGAGCCGGAAGATGGAGTGTCTTCCGGCCAGAGCAGACTACCCCTGGAGGATGAGAGGCCGGCGGATGAATACGACCAGCCTTGGGAATGGAAAAAAGATCACATCTCCAGGGCCTTCGCAGGTATGTGCAAGGCCAGGCCACTTGGAAGCCTCCTCTGACCACTGCCTCAGTTCTCAGTAACATCAATTCTCCCCCATAGAAAATGCCTTCCCCCCAACCCCATTCTGTGTAGTCTTGGGAAGAGATGTGGCTGTGACATCACACTGGACTTGGGGTCATTATAGGACCAACCCAATAGGGCAATTGTAGTCTAAATACTAGAACGCACTCCCTTGTGTGGAAGCTTGTGAATGGCAGCGAGGGGGTTTTAGGAGTTACCACGTGGTAGACTTGGAGTCAGACAGTTCCTTGCTAAATAGAGTAAAGGGGTAGCAGGACCAACCTAAAGACTATCAGATAACCCAGGTCAGGAAGGATGAGGCCATGATTTGGACCAGTGCTCGCCTTCCACTCTGTGGGTAGTCCTGCTCACAAACTGATTACAAACTTCCAACCCATCCCTATTGACCACACCCCTTGTGCTCTGACTTTGTCAGCCAAGGCACTTAGGGCACCTTCCATCGTGCCTAATTTCTGGGTGACCACACCCCTTCCTTTCTAAAGACCAATCACAGTTCCTGTGTCAATTCTGTCCTACCTTAGACTCCACCCCCATCTCCTAGGCTCTGAAAGGCTGCCCCAAACTAAGATCCCATTGGCTGGCTCCTGTCCCGCCCTCTAGGTAGGTGGGCCTTAGCCTCTCACCCTCCTCTCCCAGTACAGTTTGATGGTCCCGACTGGGAACGGACCCCAGGCTCGACCAAGGAACCCCGGAGACCGCAGCCTGCAGAGCGCGTAGATGCAGCCCTGGCCCTGGAGAAGCAGCCGTGAGTGCGTGGCCCCGGGGACCCAGGAACCACAAAGGAGCTGGGGGCTCATTCATTCACTCATTCATTCATTAGTTAGGGTCTCATGTAGCCCACGCTGGCCCCACTCACCATATCCAAGAGAATTGTCTAGCTGTGCCTTGGGGTTTGTCCCTGACCCCCAGGTGAGTGATATCAGCTGGAGGTGTCTGTCCCCACACCCAGGTGGTTTCATGGCCCCCTGAGCCGCATGGAGGCCGAGAACCTTTTGTCCCTCTGCAAGGAGGGCAGCTACCTAGTGCGACTCAGTGAGACCAGAGCTCAGGACTGCATCCTGTCCCTCAGGTGAGACCCAGCCTCAGGGCCAGTACCGGGATAGGGCTCCCAGGCCAGTGGGTGGGGATTTCTGGAAAGTGGGCAGGCTTTCGGGTGGCTAGATGGGGTTCCTGGGCCAGTGGTTAAATGGGTCCAACAGGAGTGAACTTGGAAGCCTAGCAAGAGATCGAAACCTCAGGGGGCAAAGGGAGCCAGGGTCCAAGGTTCTTTTGAATGGCCCTGTCCAAAATGTGAAGTGCAGCCCTGTGTGTGAAGGCAGAGTCTCAGAATGTTCTAGAAAGCACTTGAGTTTGCAGCTCCGGTTCCTTGAGATGCCTGAAGTGTGGGTTCAGGGTACCACCACATGGCCTGTCGTCCCAGCATGGGGGGGTTGAAAGAGGGGAGGGGGGCAGGAGGATCAGGAGTTCAAGTTCAGCCCCAGCTACTCATCCAATTTGAGGATATTCTAGGCCATATGAGACTCTCTTAATAAGAGCAGGGAAGGGGCCAAAGAGACAGTCCAGTGGTTAAGGGTGCTTGCTGCTCCTTGGGAGGACTTGGGTTCAGCCCCTACATCAAGCAGCTCACAACTCCTTGTAACCCCAGCTCCACGGAATACGAAGCTCTTTTCCAGCCACTATAAATACAGCCAGACACGGTGGGCATACCTTAAATCCCAGCACTCTGGAGGCAAAGGCAGGCGGATCTCAGTGAGTTTGAGGTCAGCCTGGTCTACAGAGTGAGTTCCAAGACAGCCAGAGGTGCTACACAGAGAAACCCTGTCTTGAAAAACAAAAATAGCCGGGCGGTGGTGGTGCGCGCCTTTAATCCCAGCACTCGGGAGGCAGAGGCAGGTAGATCTCTGTGAGTTCGAGGCCAGCCTGGTCTACAAGAGCGAGTTCCAGGACAGCCTCCAAAGCCACAGAGAAACCCTGTCTCGAAAAACCAAAAAAAGAAAGAAAGAAAGAAAGAAAAACAAAAATAAATAAAGTATAAATCTGGGCTGGTGCAGGTATACGTGCAGGCGGAACACTGTATACGTTTAAATAAATAAATAAATGCCCTTCCTGTATTCCAGGGCCCCCTCTATGAGCCGGGGCCCTGACACAGATGAACTCAATTCTAAAATGGGTCGGTGGGAGTCTGTGAGGGAGGGCCTTCTACAGAAGTGACACTCAGACTGCACAGGACGCCCTCTGGGCCAGGGTGAGCGGGGTGAGGCGTGGTGTAGCTGCAGAGCCCAGGCTGGTCTGGAACAACTCAGAGACCTGCCTGCCTCTGCCTCCCAGGTATTGGGATTAAATAAATAAATAATTTGTTTAACTTGTTTGTTTATTGTAAGGAGGAGGTCTCACTATGTAGCTTTGACTGGCCCAAAACTCACCGTGTAGAACAGGCTACTCTGGGATTTGTATCCATCTGCCGGCCTCTGCCTCTCAAGTGCTTCGATATTTCTTTTACTTTTGTGTGAGTGTTTTTTTTTTCCGAGACAGGGTTTCTCTGTGGCTTTGGAGGCTGTCCTGGAACTAACTCTTGTAGACCAGGCTGGCCTCGAACTCACAGAGATCCGCCTGCCTCTGCCTCCTGAGTGCTGGGATTAAAGGCGTGCGCCACCAACGCCCGGCTCTTTTACTTTTGTGCATGTGTGGGTGTCAAGGTCAGAGGACAGCTTTTGGGGTTCAGTTCTTGCCTTCCACTTTGTGGGTCCTGGGGAACTGAACTCAAGTCAACAAGCTTGGCTGGGAGCGCCTTTTACCTCTGGTCCAGAACTGAGCTTCAAAGGGAAAGACACCCTACAGAGCCATGGAGATCAGGAAGTCACTCGAGACTGTCAGTCCTGCAGAGAGGCTCTGAGTGGGACTGGAGTCCTAGCGCCTACATGCACCTGTGGGAAGGCGGCTGTGGAGAGATGGGGAGTTGAATGGGCCTTCGGGACTGATGCTCTCTCTGCCTTGACCCACAGGAGCAGCCAGGGTTCCATGCACCTGAAGTTCGCGCGGACTCGAGAGAACCAGGTGGTGCTGGGCCAGCACAGCGGGCCCTTCCCCAGCGTTCCCGAGCTGGTCCTGCATTACAGTGCCCGCCCACTGCCTGTGCAGGGCGCCGAGCATCTGGTGCTGCTTTACCCTGTCACCAGCAGCCAGAGCCCCTGAAGGACGCTGCACACTGGCTGTCAAGCCAGACAGGGGACAGGGGGACTCACGACTCAGACTCCCTCCAAGCCAAATCTACTGCCCTCTGGGAGGTTCCAGGGCCCGCTCTCAGTGACCAGGACAAACCTGTGAGTGGGCTTTGCCAAGGGGGGGGGGCGCTTGTTGCCAGGTCTGAGGGGTTTAATCCCAGGAACCCACACGGCGGCAGCAGAGAGCAGACACTGCAAGTTGTCCTCTGATTAACACACAAGGCACACGCTATAAATAAATAAATAAATAAATATAATAAAAACGAATTCTAAAACCTTGTCATTCCCTGTTGTTCTTTCGGGGCTGTGGGGAGAGATCAGGTGACCACTCAGACCTTGGATTGTTCCCAAAGCCATAGGTATGAATGACAAAGCCTTTGTCACAGGGACCCAGCTGGGTTTAGAAGCTAAATGTCCCCAGAGGCAGGGACAGCTCCGCCTCATCCCAGCCTACAGCTGGGCCTCTGGCCTCCCAGGGAAATCCACAGGAGTGGGGGAGGGGAGGCAGAAGCAGCCCTTGTCACTTCAAAGTGACAATTGGATAGGGACAGGACCATGGTACATGCCAGTAGCTCTGACCCTCAGCTCAACCCCCCCTCCCAAGAAGCCATGCTGTGGAGGAAGGGATCATCCAGGCCTGAGTGTGGAATCTCTGCTCACTGGACACATGAAAGCCAGGGTAGGGCCGGACATGGTGGCGCACACCTTTAATCTCAGCACTCGGGAGGCAGAGGCAGGCGGATCTCTGTGAGTTCTGAAAGACCCCCAGAGTGGGGAGACCCTCACTCAAGCCTCGGGATAAGCCGACGCCCCAACAATTCAAGAGAGACCTTCTTGCTGCAAGCACACAAGGTTTATTCAGGGAACCAGTGCACTGGGGCCCAGCTCATGACCCTCTCAGGGGCAGAGGAGATAGATCCCTAGTAGCTGCAGTCGGGGGTCTTTAAAAGGGAAAAACCGAATCGGGGAGTTAGGCAAACATCATAAAGGATGAGAAGTTAAATGATAGCTTATGTCTTAACAGGAAGGTTATCTCAAGCAAGCATTCTTTAGGCATTGTAGTTAAACATTGAGCAGGAATGTGGTGAACTAGTTCCTGGATCAGGGAGGGTTATCTTTTAAGTTTATCTTGAGGTCTCCGGTTTCTCAGGAGAGGGCAGAAGGGCAAGTCACTCTGTGATGGGCTAGTCACTAGGGGTCTAAAAATGTTGAGTTGGGATCTCTCAGTTCGAGGCTAGCCTGCTCTACAGAGCGAGTTCCAGAGCAGCCAGGAAAAATCAAATGTGGATCAGACTCTTCCAGTCAAAGTGTGATGCCAGACCATCTCCAGGGACCCTGGACCCCACAAGGGACTCTTCATTATTGGTAGCACCCCAGCCAACACGGCCACAGGCTTGAGCTTTGGGTCTTTAGACAGCCTTGTTAGAGCAGAGATTGGCTGTGCAGGCTTGTCACGACAGCTACTGGGGAGGTTGAGGTTCCAGGCCAGCCTCAGCAACATAAGAGGAATTTGTCTCAAAGTAAAGAGGAAAAACAACTAGGGATGAGAATCAATAGAGACTGCCTAGAATTCCCCGGTGATGGTTTTGGGGCGTGTCTGGGTGGAGCCCTGCCTAGAATCTTCCCGTGAGGATGTGGGTGTAATTGTGGAGTAAATCACTTGCATAGCACGGTTGAGGTCCTGGGTTCCGGGCACAGTACTGAAAGGATCCTTTATTGACAGTCCCTGAATCATGTCATTGATGTCAGTCAGCCTGTAGCTGTAGGACGCCCCTCCCTTTGTAGAAACGGTGCCACCCTCACAGAGTGCCCAGGTCCAACTTTGTCCAGGTTCTCAGGGGTCTCCAATGCCTGTTTTGACTTTGAGGATCCCTCTCGGCATGTGGCCTGCCCCTACCTCCTGGGGCTTGCAGGAGACACATGGTGGACAGAGACAGGGTGGCCAGGCCTGGGGCTGGAGCTGGGTTTGGAGACCGGAAGTTGCTGGCGTGGGGCAGGTTTGGGGAAGGTGGTGGAATAGATAGCCTGGGCTCTCTGGTTTCTGGCTGTGCCGATCTCCTTAGACCGGGCCCAAGGCCTGTATGGAGTCTCCCGCGGCCGGTAGAGGACATTGCTGTAGAAAGAATTTCCTGGGGGCACTTGACATAAATCAAAGGTGACAGTAAATTAAGAGTGGCCAGAGCTGTCTTGGCACGGGCGAGGGGTCAGCCTTCCCTACTACGCTGCCTCCTGCCCCGCCCCTACCCCCATCCCTACCCCCACCCCCACCCGCACCCCCGGCTCCCTTGGCAGGGTGATGCAGTTCCTATGTCTGCCACACGGGGGAGGTAGCACCAAGTACCGATATGCCTTTAGCACCCTTGAGACTCACCTGGGCAGGTGCTCTCACCTGAGCCCTCCCGTCGACACCTGCGGAGACCCCACGACACAGCACCCAGCACCACCAAGGCTGCCACCACACACCCAGCCACCAGAAGCACCAACAGGAGCCCTGGGTGGGAAGACAGAGGAGACTGTGCCAGGGAGGGGCACACAGGGAGGGGTACACGGGGCGGGGCAGGTGGGTGTAGGGGAAGGGCTCACCCGAAGGCCGGGAGGTCTCCTTCAGCTGGAGGCCACCTGCAGGGAAGAGGTTCCTGTCTCAGGAGGAGGTCCACTGTGGAACCCAAACACCTGCAGCCACTCTCCTCCCTGCCTCGGGATATTGAACCTGCCTGTGCGCTATCAGTGGGGTGTAGCTTCGAACTAGGAATGCTTCTTGAGACCCTCCCTCCTCCAAACGACTTCTGCCCCCAACCCCTCACTCTACCTCTCATCCACACCCCAAATCGTAACCTAAAGCACGCTAAATGCCATCGCTCTCAGTTCATTCTGCCGAGACTGGGAAGCCGACGACTGTGCGTGGCAGCCTTGGCGATGGATGGGGCGGAGCTCAAGCCCTGCTCACACAGCCACTCAATGAGCATTGGGGCCCGGAGTCCAGGCCGGGATGACGCTAGGACTGCAATCAAGGGTTTCATGACTTAGAGAAGATGGGTCGCCCCCAAATCCTCCTCTTGAAGCCGCTGATATGGGCAGGGGTCCCTGGAGGCTGTTGGTGGGGTAGAGAAGCCCCCTGGGTGCGGCTGCTCCCCACCCCCCACAGCCTGCTAAGTGGCTACTCCTCAGGCGATGAGTCACAGAGCCAGAACACAGTTCCTGCAATGGCAGCATGTCGCTGCTAGCTGTGAAGAGCACGCCGGTGACGGAGGCTAACGCAACACAGACTGACCGGGATCACTGGGGTCCCACAAGTCACTGCCATGACAGAAGGGGGGGTGTATGCCCTGTTCCAGCGCAACCAAGCTAAACATGGCGTCGTTTCCTTTGTTTTGTTTGAGACGGTAAGGCCCAGGCCAGTGTTGAACTCTTGGCAATCCTCCTGTCTCAGCTTCCTGTGAGAGCAGTAGGATAACAGGCAAGTGCTCCTGTCACATCCCACTGAAGCTCACCCTCCAGAATGTCAGGATGACAGGAGTATGCCACCACACCTGGTTCTTCTGGTACATATTAATGTTGAGTTAGGCTCTCCCTCTGTAGCCCAGACTAGCCTCTCAAGTGCCAGGACAACAGGTCTGCCAATTTTTTTTTTTTTTTTTGGTTTTTCGAGACAGGGTTTCTCTGTGGCTTTGGAGGCTGTCCTGGAACTTCCTCTGTAGACCAGGCTGGCCTCGAACTCACAGAGATCCGCCTGCCTCTGCCTCCTGAGTGCTGGGATTAAAGGCGTGCGCTACCAACACCCGGCGTCTGCCAATTTTTAATTGACTATTTTTTATGTTTGAGTATGTGTGCGTGCAGTGCCAACAGTGGCAGAAGGGAGCCATAGGGTCCCGGGAGCTAGAGTGACAAGGGACTTGAGCCACCACCATGTGGGTACTAGGAACCGAACCCGCCCGGGTACTTTGTAAGAGAGGCAGGTGCTCTAACCACTGAACTGCCTCTCCAGCCCTTGCACAGCTTTTTGAGACAGGATCTCGTGTAGCCCAGGCTGGCCTTGAACTCCTTACCCTCCTGCCTCAAAACTAGATTTGAGCCTGGCGTTCTCCTGCCTCAGCTTCCCAAGTGTTGGTGTCACGAGTGTGCTGTGAGCAATTTTACACTCAGCTAGGACCTGAGATTCAGGAGTCTGGGAGTTCTAGAGCCTTCTCTATGCAAACACCCCTTCATCCCCATTCATACCTGCCTCCACCAGGACCTTGGTCCCGTTGCCCTCGACCTCTTGCAATTTGGGGATCTCCAGGGTGGCCCGGCACACGTAGTCCCCGCTGTCGTTGAGGTTCACACGGCCCAGCCGCAGGCTGAAGTTTGCGGGCGGCCACCAGGACAGCTGTCCCCGAGACCCGCAGCCCCCGGGGTTGAGGCTGCCGTTGGAGAGGAACAGGTGGCAGAAAACAACCCTGTCCCGGACCCACTCCACACGCAGCCTCTGCCAGGCCTGACTCTGCTTCACCCCACAGAACAGCAACAGCTCCTGGCCTCGGGTCGCCCTCACCAACGGGGGCCACTGCTGCACACTCAGACTCACAGCTTCCTGCAGGCCTGGGAGAGACACAGTGTCACCGAGGCTAGCCACCCCGTGAGGGCCCGAGTTTGAGCCCCTAGAGCCTCTGAAGAAGATGGAGCATGGTGGTGCCATCCTGTGCACAGAGGGGACACAGGGGACACAGAGCCTAGAGGATCCATGAGCTCTCTGTCAGTTGCTCCCACACACAAGCCTCAGACCAACAAGAGACTGGATCTCAGAAAGTCAGTGGAGACAGACTGAGGAAGGTTCTGGGGGTGAACATCAGGCCTCTGTGTGCACACAGATACACACATACACGTACTCACACGCACACACACATACACAACAGTCACACACACACACTCACTCATACACATACACATAGTGGGAACCTGACCCCTCAAAGCAAGATCCTTTCTCAAAGAGTGTGTGGCCCGGAGGCTGGGATTCCGGTCCCTGAGGGCTGGTGTTTAGGACGTGGTTTGGGTTGCTCTGAAGACGCTGTAAGGGCCAAGGTAGTTCTGATGGGGACCAGACAGCACAGGCAGGCAAGACAGTAGGAGGGGTACACGACGTGGGGACCCCCAGGTACTCACCCCAGAGCTGCAGCAGGATGAACACCCAGTCGGAAGCCCCCATCCCTGAACCACCGGGCCCCAAGGCTCACCCTGAATCACTGGGGTGACCCAGCCCACACACACACTCTTCCTGTCACAGCATCCACCCCCCCACCCCGGCTGAGGTGACACCGGGGGTGGGGAAACACAGAGAACAGCAGACATCCTGTGTTTCAGGCTGTGGGGGAGAAGGGGGTCCAGTTCTTTCCACCCTGCCTCTCAGTTTTCCCCAAAGCATCTTACTACATCAAAATAAGACGTGTGGGCGGTGGTGGCACACGACTTCGGTTCCAGCACTCAGGTGGCAGGTGGATCTCTGTGAGTCTGGTCTGCAGAGCGAGTTCCAGAACTGGTGCTCCAAAGAGAAACTCTGTCTCGAGAAAAAGAATTTTAAAAAGGGAGTATGCATCCATCTGCGGGTGTGGAGCTGGGTTCTTGGGAGTGGAAATCTCTCTGGAAGATTCTTGGTGCAGAGGACTGAAGGAGGGCAGAGTTCAGCGCCAGACAGAGGGACACCAAGGACACCTGAGCTGGGCTCGGTGCAGAGCAGTTGTCCAGTTTGTGCAAGGCCTGGGTTCTGGCCCCCGAAAACCAGGCACGGTAGAACACACCCATCACCCCAGCTATGAGGAGGTAGAGGCAGATCAAGGGCAGCCTTGGTTACATAGGGAGCATGAGGCTAGCCTGGGCAATGTGTCCCTTCTCAAAAATCAATCAATACGTTAAGACCCTGATACAGAAATAGTAGGATAAAGGGTAGATTCTCGAATTTACTTGAATCCAGAAAACAACTATAAATCTTACATATTTTACATTGGTATGGATTTTGGTTTACAAATTTAATGTTAATTTTGTTATACTGTAAGTATATTTCTACTATTGTTTAAGGTATTATGTTTATGCAGATTATTTAAAAATATAATGTATAATAAAGAAATACATATTAAGGGACTGGAGAGATGACTTAGTGGTTAAGAGTACTCGAAGCTCTTCCAGAGGACCTGGGTTCAATTCCCAGCATCCATATGGCAGCTTACAATGATCTGTAACTCCAGTTCCAGAAGATCTGATACCTTATACCAATGCACATAAAATAAAGTAAAAAAATACAGACTAGGCTGGGCGTTGGTGGTACACGCCTTTAATCCCAGCACTTGGGAGGCAGAGGCAGGTGGATCTCTGTGAGTTCGAGACCAGCCTGGACTACCAAGCAAGTTCCAGGACAGCCTCCAAAGCCACAGAGAAACCCTGTCTCGAAAAACCAAAAAAAAAAAAAAAATACAGACTAGTAGTCATCTATAATTGTCAAACTTATAGTCATGTTAGAATTTTGTTTTGTTTTGTTTTTTGAGATAGGGTTTCTCTGTGGCTTTGGAGGCTGTCCTGGAACTAGCTCTTGTAGACCAGGCTGGTCTTGGCGAACTCACAGAGATCTGCCTTCCTCTGCCTCACGAGTGCTGGGATTAAAATTGTGTGCCGCCATCGCCCTGCCTAGATAAGTTTTTTGAAGGTCATACAGAGATACATTTCAGATGGGTAATCTTCAAACACTTCAAAAACCAACAGAATATGGCATTTAATATGTTTAATAACCTAAGGCTTTTCATGACAGGGAGACCCATCTGCTCCTGGAAACACCAATCCACTTCAAAGATGGTGGGCATTGAAAAAACTCCATATGGAGTTTGCTTTCTTTGTAGCAAAAGTTAGCCACTGGGCAAAGAAACTGAGCTTGTCTCAATTGCTGACAGTGTCCAAACTGGACCAGCAGGTCACAAAAAAGGCGACTGCTTAACATTGCCAAGACAAGGCGGGACAGTCCTTCAGAATATCCTGCTTCACAGAAAAGTCTGTCAGTTGTGCCAGACCTGTGGGCCACAGATGGACACCCCAGCATTACAGAGGAACTTTGGGTGACTGTCCAGGCAGAGAGATGTCCCTGTTATTAGTAACATTTCACCTTTCTGGGGCCTTTGATGGAGTTGAAGACTAGATAGTTATAATAATCATTTTCCTTAGTTATAATAGAAAATAAATTAGATACAAAAACTTAGACTCAGCCGGACGTGGTAGTGAACACCTGTAATCCCAGCACTTGGGGGGTGGGGGGTGGGAGCAGGGGGTGGGGTGGGGTGCAGAGGCAGGCAGATCTGTGTGAGTTTGAAGCCAGCCTGGTCTACAAAGCAAGTTCCAGGACAGGCTTCAAAGCCACACAGAGAAACCTGTCTCAAAAAAACAAAAACAAAATGAAACCTTAGCCTCACCAAGATGAGATAGATAATAAGTATTTTCTCTAATTTTGCCAAATACAAATGGACTAGATATTGTTACTGTAATTCTTACTTAATAACTCTTTTTGATATATGTATACATATATATCAAATATATATATTAAATTAAGGTAGAAGCCTTCCGTTTTAATTAGACAAAAAGAGGAAAGTGCTGTAGAACAATCCTCTTGTACACTGTAAAGATTTGTCACTGGAATTGGTTTAATAAAGAGCTGATTGGCCAGTAACCAGGCAGGAAGTTAGGCAGGGCAACCAGACTAAGGATGCTGGGAAGGAGAAGTGTGGAAATCAGGAATCCATAGCCAGATGCAGAGGGAGCAGGGGATGAAGGGGCCGTGCCAATAAAGGTGCCACCATGTGGCAGAGCGGAAATAAGGAACATGGGTTAACTTAAAAAGTAAGAGCAAGCCGGGTGGTGGTGGCGCATGCCTTTAATCCCAGCACTCGGGAGGCAGAGGCAGGTGGATCTCTGTGAGTTCGAGGCCTGGCTGGACGATAGCCTCCAAAACAATACAGAGAAACCCTGTCTCGTAAAAACCAAAAAAAAAAAAAAAAAAAAAGTAAGAGCAAGTTAGTAATAAGCCTGAGCTACTGGTCGATCATTTATAAGTAATGTTAAGCCTCAGTATGGAAATTTGGGAAGCAGTTACCCGGTATTTTTGTCTGAGCAGCTCTGAGACAGGAAACTTCTGGCTATAAGATCTGCCTAAGGGGCTGGAGAGACGGCTCAGAGGTTAAGAACACTGCCTGCTCTTCCAGAGGTCCTGAGTTCAATTCCCAGCAACCACATGGTGGCTCACAACCATCTACAATTCAATCTGGTGCTCTTTTCTGGCATGTAGGCAGAACACTGTATATGAAATAAATAAATAAATCTTTAAAAAAAAAGAGAGAGCCATGTTTTTTAAAAAATCTGCCTCAGTTCCTAGGTTCCTTAAGTCCTTCCCTTGTTGAAACACTGGGCGTGAGGCCCAGGCCATGTCAGCGGATTTTTGAGGTGACTTTGGTTTCTCTCAGGTGCTGTGGGGCACACCTTTAATCCCAGTACTCAGGAGGCAGAGGCAAGGGGATTTCTGTGAGTTTGAGGCCAGCCTGGGCTACATAGAGAAACCTGCTCTGGTAGCAAAAACCAGTCACCCTGTTCTCAGTCAAACCGCAGGACATCAGTGACTTCCTGGTGGGCTGTGTATATACAGCTGTTCCGAAGCCCATCTATGGTCAACCAACCCCATGGGAGGCTAGGACCCCGGTCTGGGTGAACAAAGCTGTCTCGGCCCATCGAGGCCAACTGTGTCTCCTTCAAGTCCTGGGTGCCCCTCCAAAGCCCGAGGTCCTAGCCACCAGCCCCGAGCCTCAGCTCCACTCTGGGGTCAGTGGTCAGTGCAGTAGAGTTCAGAGTCTTATACCCAACCACTGAGTGACCTACTTTCTCACTGGGTGTTTCCTGGAATTGTTCTGAACCACAAGAAGGGTCCTGTCCTGGTCAAAAGGGCAGTGTTTAAAAGACCCTGGGGTGGACGAAGCCCCAGACACTGCCAGGTTGGCAGCAGGGCCAACTGAACATAATAAACATGTCTAGCCCTGAAGCTGGGGCTGGCAGAGAGGTTTGGGCGGGCGAAGGGGGGAGTGAGGGGAGAGGGTATGATCTGGGGCTTCCTGGGATGTGTAGAAGCTGGCTCACTGTGTGACCACAATGTTGAACGCTGGTTGGTTGTACATGTGAGCCATGGAAGGACAGTTCTCAGAGCAGCTTGGGTACCAATTTGAACAGCAAATGGGGACGGTGTGGGGGCGAATAAGGGGTGGTCCCAAGGTCACAAGACAGGACCTGAGGGCAAAGACAGATACCCTGACTTCTGCCTGGGCTCTCTTTCACCCCCAGTATCGCAGGCAGATACCCAGGCTCTGGAGGAGGGCGCGTCCCAGCTCCGCACTACATTTCCCAGCAGCGCCGATCGCGGGCGCATGCGCGGTGCATGCAGTGATGGAGCGCTGACGGGGGCGCGGCGGCGGAGGCGGCGAGGGCGCGGAGGGCTAACTGGTTGCCGGCTGCAGCCAAGGAGGCTTGAGTGTTTGGAGAACCAGCTGAGGGGGACCCCCGCGGCGGGGTCGGGGAGACCCAGGGCTGCAGCTATGGAGGACCAGAGGGTAGGACCAGGAGGGATGCGCGGAGCGGGCTCCGGGAGGGGACCAGGTGATGCCGCAGCGCCCCTCCCCCTCACGGGCCATCAGCACCTTGGCGCGGGTTAACACGCAGCCCCTCCCCCATCACTGAGCCCCTCATCAGCTTAGCCTGGGCTCAGCTAGGGCCCCACCCCACAGGTCACCGCCCCCAGGTCCGCAGTACCCAGCCCCCCACCCTGGGTGGGAACCGGGAACCACAGCCTCCTCCTCCACCTGCCCTGGGGATCCCCCTTTCCAAGCCCCACCCTTCACAAGCGAGACCTTCGGGCTGCAGCGGGGTAACTCCATCCCCTTCCCAGGCTCTCCTGACCCACGCCTCTCACATCTCGCCCAGGAGAAGTTTGTTTCTCCATACAGCCCTTTGCCCCAGGCTAACTCAGTTGGGCTCTGGGACTCGCGTTGCCCAGGCTACCCCCTCTTTGCCTGCAGCACACCTTCAACTTTCAAGATGCAGAAACTGGCCTGGGGTGTTGGTGGTGCACGCTTGTAATTCCAGCCCCGGGACGTAGAGGCAAGAGGTTGACCTGAGTTCCAGGCTAGCCTGGGCTACACAGTGAGACCCTGGGGAGGTGGCTCAGTGGGTAAAGTCTGTGCAAGCGTATGAACCTGAGTTCAAGTCCCCAGTGCCCACATCAGAAATCAGCGCAGGTGCATACACTGTGTCCGCAACCCTGGGGACAGGGACACATGAGGATCCCTGGGGACTTGATGGCAGCTAGCCTAGCCCTGGCTCAGCAAGAGACCCTCC